TGTTTTCAGGTAGCCCAACTGGAGCTACTAGACAACAGGGTGACCCAAGGATGGGTTTCCTCCTCTTTCCAATGGCAGATAGTAAAAGCAAAGATTAAAAAAGAAAAACTTACACTAGCAAATACTCAAGGCCCTTCCATGCAACTGTCAGAGAGTGCTGCTCTACAGATCTATCATGACTGATGGGACACCTTTTAACCTGCCTAACCCCTTCCTTCCACAGCAGCCGTCAGCAGCACGTTACTGCAGCAGCACGTCATAGCTGCTGATAGGAACCGCTGTGGTCAACAGAACCTTTTCCACTGCAGCCGTCAGCAGCGCGAGTCGGCCGCGTCTCAGAAGCAGCATGTCGCGGCCCTTACGCGCCGGTTCTATTTTCTACGCGCAACGCCTCTGAAACAGGTTAAGTTCGACATTTTGGGGAAGGAAAGACAGGAAATCGGACGCGGAAACGGAGCGAAGCACCCGAGATTTCCAGAATAAAGAAACGTACGGTTGCTTTACTAAAAAAAAAGTTACTAACTGTGCTGCCCCATGAGAAGTTATCACCTAGCTAGCGGTCTCCTTTGTTTTTCAGGTCCGTATTGGCGATTATAAAATGGACAGAACATAAAACACAAACATTTTGGAGCCATGTTGTAGTTTTCTCCTGCTTGTTGTTGTGTTTACTGACGAAGTCACTCGTGTGACTTCGTGCTCTGTCGGTGACAGCTGCTCCCCTGCTGCTTCACGTCTCGTGGGAAGGGCAGAGCAGCAGCTTACGCGAGCAAGACGTGCTGCTGCAGTAACGTGCTGCTGACGGCTCCGGTGGAAAGAAGGGGTGAGGCTTGCAGCCAGCGCCTACAGCCCTGTCTATACCACTTCCTCTGTGTCAGAAATCCCACTAGGGTAGGTCCTGTATTAAGTTTTATTTCTCAGTAAAATTTCTGCTCTAACTGATGTATGACTGCACATTAAGACAGACCAATAGAGTTTAATTTCTAATTTTCACATCTCCGTGTTAAATTGTAGCTCTTAGTTCCAAAATGGTTGGGCATCCCTGCTCTACAAGTGACTAGCCAACAGGACCGCATCACCACTGACCAGTGGCGCCAGCTGGCTAGCAGCACTGCTCAGCAGCAGCCGGGGCCTGCAAAGCACACTGAGGACTGGATGATGGTTGAGGATACAAGGCCCTCAGAGAGAGAAAAGAAAGCATCAATGACTAAGCATTTGCCTGGTAAGAAGGGAGCCTATGTGGGTCTTCTTAACCCTAGTTTATAATTCTCCATCAGCTCAAGTGTGGAGACATGCACACAGATTGACGAAGATAATTTCTTTTTAGACTTCTCCGTCACCTGTGGAGTGTTGCAAATGATGGAAAAAATGTACATCCTCCTGGCTTTCTCCTCCCAACATTAGGCCCTGCTCCTTTCTCTGAAGCTAGTTTCTGATCTGAAACCTGCCTCCCCTGGTCAGCACAGGATGTGTGTCTTACGCCTGAGTCATGCTTCTGCGTCAGTGCGGAGACACGCAACGCCATTATCCGTCCTTGCGGGCCTGTTGGAGAGCCCCCGCAAGGACGGACGGAGTCGAGCTCTCTGCTCTAAACATCCATCCGTCGAGACGGAGAACGCAAGCTTGTGATTGGTCAGGGCACAGCTGCTGTCTACACCGCCGCCATTGCGCCCCAGAGCTGAGGATAACCATAGATCTGTATATAAACACTAGATGGAGAAAGCGGGAGTCGAGGGCGTAGCTAAACGGCGGCCATCTTACCCCAGACAACACATCCCTCCACTCTCAATAGTAGCGGCTGAAAGGTGTGTGATCAGCTTAAACAAAAACACCCTTAAGTCGATGAAATATTAACGGATTTACAAGCGGGTTGTCTTATTACAAACCTTAGAACACATGGGCTTGAGACGACATACTTGCACATGTTGAAAGTAACGCTTTTGCTTTTGAAAGTGACAATTGTGAACCATGTGTCCTGCCTAGGCTGTCTGCATGTTACACAGGTTGAGACCACAATCGATATTTTATGTGGTTCTACAAAACCAATAACAACTTTACAACAGCTCAATAGTTGTGTAAATGGCTGTTTGTGGATGTTTTTATGTTTATTAGCTGTCTAACTTGGCTTAGAGATGATGAGGGATACAGTGGGTGCACTGCCTAGCAAAACAAAGTTGACTGTTTACTTCAGCGGGAGTCGCTAGTTTTATTTTAAATAAATTAATGCTAAATTGCCAGTGATTTTTAAGCGTCTTGGTTTGTTACTCAAAAATTATATTGGGACATATTAAAACAGGACATTTCTGGATTCATGCTAGCAGAAATACACTTTTATTACTTGTGAAGCTCTAGGGTCAACATGGCTGACTGTGGTGCAGCCTACGGAAGCTCGAATCTCCGCTGTGACAAACTGAGACAACGTGGGATCACCTTTCATCTGTAACTGTTGCAAAGAAAACCTTTACTTGTACATTTTTCAGTCTGTTAATTGTTTTTATGTTAATAAAATCATTTGAAACTGTTGTTCTATTGCTGCTGCTACCTCCTTCTATACATTGTTTATCTGGTTTTATGAATGTTGAAAATCTCCTTCATCCATCTATCTGATTTATTACTGTAATCCATCTTATTTATTAGCCTAATCTATCTTTTGATTATTTCCTAACTTTTTCAGAAAGCATTTCCAAAGAGCTTATAATTAATAAATGAAAGTCAATAAATAAGGAAACAAAAGTTAAGAAATTGTGAAAATACAAAATAATTTGCTGGGTGAAATTTTATTGCTGGCGGGACGTTCTGGCTGACAGATGTGATTTGGGTGTTGTTTGTATATTTGTTGGGGTGCACATTTTGTATCTGTGTTCTGTTAATGTGGGCTTTACCTCAAAAGAACCTTGAAATCTCATCTCTACACAAATTTTATTTCACAAACCAGGAATATATATATATATATTTAGATAGATATAGATAGATCTATATAATATAATAATAGGCTATGTATACCTTAAGTTACTGTAGCTTACAATTAAATGTGTTATCTATGAAAGATTAAATGCTTTGGGGAGTGAAATAACAGTAATTTCTGGGCCATACCCATCCTATTTCATAGACACATCTCTGGTATTTATAACAAAGAAGACATTTTGAAAATCGGTTGAAAACTGAGCAAGTTAGAGTTATTTAAATAGTATATGCACCATACACCCCAATGTCAAGAGAGGGGGCAGCTGTCTGAGGTAAGATGGCCGCCACGTTCCTACGTCGCATCCCATTGGCGATCAGCTGGGACGAGCCATCTAGTGTTTATATACATATCAATGAGGATAACTAGTGGCAGACACGGAGAAGCTCGAAGAATACCTCGCGAAAAAAACTCTAAAAACATGAACGCTTCATTCCCCCGTGACTGGAGGAGTGAAAAGATGCGAAGCAAGCGTTTTATTTGTGGACGGAAATGACAGGAAACGTGGGTTTAGAGGTGGCAAGCCCATGAAGAGGTGGAGGAGGATGAGAGACAAATTTGTATGTGTTAAAAAGTCTCTTATAAACAAAAAACACAATATAAACACACGATCTTGGACCGGATACATGACAGGATACCACAGAACAGCGCTACGCCCTCTGTTGTTCTGGCGGGGAATTGCTTTGCAACACTCCCCAAAAGACAGAGAAGTATGAGGGCAAAACATCTCCGTCCGTGCGTGTGTCTCCCTTTTGGAGCGGACGGAGAAGCATGACTCAGGCTTTAGGCAACTTGTTTTGTAAAAGGAGGTTTGGTTTGGAGTTCTTCAAGGTTATTGACCATTGCTGTAGAGCTGTGTATCCTGCTTGTGTGTGTGTGTCGCAAGCAGATGTTGTAGCATTTTCTGCAACCACTGTCAGGGACAGAGAAAATATTTCATCCCAGGCACCTTTTCCCCATCTGAGTGGTGTGTGTGTGTGAATCAGATTTTATGGCTCATGTCTAGTTTAAGTTATGTACAAATGTTCTATAAAGCAACAGTCACTTCATGTTTTCTCTAAGAGTTTTTCTCCCCAGAAGAAGTTACACTGGCGTTCTGCAGAGCTGTCACAGCCTCCTGGAGGGGTCATCGGCTGGTACACTACAGCCAACCACTAGACATTCTACCTCTCCTTATATAAACTTTTTACTTTCTTTGACGTAAAAAGTACTACTAATTCATTTTAATTAAATATAGATTCACTCAGATAAAGACAATAAAGTTTACTACTGATGCATGCAGCCAAATATATATGGCATGTGTGTGCGCTCGCTCTGTTGTCTCAATCCCCAGTGAGTCGTGGTGGATGGCTGCTTATACTGAGCCAAGATCCTCTGGAGGTTTCTTTCTGTTAAAAAGGAGATTTCCTCTCCACTGTCGCTGCATGCTTGCTTAGTATGAGGATTGCTTTAAATACTCTGATACTAGTCAGTGACTTGATGCAATTTGCTGGGTTCCTTATTTAGGAAACTTTTAACTAATTGGCACAATGGACTGAACTCAATGCACCGATGACTAGGTTCAATTGGAATGTTTACTTTGTAAAGTACCTAGAGATGATTTGGTGCTAAATAAATAAACTGTATTGAATTGAATTTTTTACAGCCTTCATTGCGACGGAACAATATCTCACAATATCACTAGACGTGTCTTAGAAACATCTGGCCTGAGTTTTCAAATTAAATTCAGTCTTAAAAATCATCTGACCACCAAGGATATGGTGTCCTAGGTACTTTCCTGACTCATCTGATCTCCTTGTTAGATAAGAAGTTTTAATATTCAGGACAAAACTGATCCAACATGCTTTGACTACAGAACCTGTAGAGATGTTATCACCTAATATCACTAATTTAAGAAAGTAGTTTGTGACAAACTTTAAAGACACTTATTCCCATTTTTTACATCAACACAGAAGTCTATGAAAAGGTTTTGAATATAAAAAATTAACAGCTGAACTGATATTTCATACTGAGTGGAGATACAGCTCTTCTCCTTACTTACCATCATTGTCACCTGAATCTTCATGACTGTCTTCTGTCTCTGGAGAGCTGGGATCATCTTCATGAGTATTTACATCAGGGTTACAGCTAGTTTCTGCTCCTCTACAGTACACCTTGTCAGCTGATCTGCTGACTGGAAGATCTCCACCTTCCATTTGATGCTGATGAATTTGTGAGATTAGAGTTTCCTCTTCATCATCCTCACTCTTCAAAGGAACTGAAGAGAATGAGAACATGTTGGCATCAGTCTCCTCCTTCCCATTGGGCTGTTCACCCTCCAGACTGGTCTCCTCCTCTTTTATGTTGAGAGTCTCTGAGCCCTGCTGAACCATATTAGGTCCCCAACCATCAGGAGCATCTATACTCAGCGCCCTCTGCTGATCATCTGTAGGAAACACAAAAACACACAAACGGATACTTCCAAAGGCTCATTTTTATTGCTACTAGTGACAGAAGTTACTGAATTGATTAATATTTATGAGGTCTCTGCACATTAAAACCAGTGTGGCCTTGTATTGCAAAAAAATGAAATATTTCTAACTAGTCATTATAAAAAGTTCCAAAATCTGCAGCAACATGCTTTTTTTTTTTTTTTTTTTGGTAATTTGAGCTTCTGAGCATATTTATATTCATCGAAGCACTCCCGACTGTCACCATCTCTCTATCCAGTTTCTTTATTTGTGACTGGATCCACAACTCAGTGAGGAAAGTTGCTTCTGTGACGGAATCTCGCTGAACAAATAAACAGATGACGGCCCTTCTGATGCTAATGCTAGCCTTCGTCTAATCTTTGGACTAGTGCACAAATAAGTGACTTCGAAGTTTATTTTGTATTTTATCTTTCAGCAACATTTAAAACTAAACGAGTTTTACTCTAAGTTTAACGAGTCAGAAGCGCAGATGTCGACCTCACATGAGCAGCTCATGATGAGCTCGATTTGTTCACCATTTAGCAAGGTAAGCTAGCTAGGAAGCTAGGCCCATTAGCTAGCAGAAAATTGCAATAAAACACTAGTTAACATTCTCACACTCGATGAAAATAAATGAAAAGTACAAACCGAATATTTGCAGTCCGGATTTGTGGTTGAAAATATGATTTATTTTGCTTTGTTGCTTATGTTCCCTTGAACGTGACCGTTCCTGCTCGGACTCCATCATCCATATCCCTGTTAGCTTTCGTTCATCAAAAAATCCCAAAATAATGGGATCGTTGCTGCGATTGTTAGGGCAACAAGCTGCTACAGATGTCAAATACAATCTACGTAAAAATCAATTGGACAAACGTAAACTTGACTGGTGTCAAGCCAGCCTCCAATTCCAGCATTGCATTCAAGCCAGCCTCCAATTTGTTTTCTGTTCCCCGTCTATTCAAGTGATTACGGGAATGGATGTGGAAACCGGATTTCAAAATAAAATTCAATGTCGAATGAATTATCAGATATTTTAAGAACATAATAACAAATAATTTAGGCTTGTTCACTATTAGCGCCCTGTCAATATCATGGCAATCTTATTTTGGATTTCAAAGTAAAAGCCCTATGAATTTTCATTTTTGAACTACTCTTTCAATGACTTCAGAATGCCCTTCAAAGCAAAAGTCATATTTCCAAACATTCTAGTTACTGAGGAGGAAACATGCGTCTGACTAAGGCCGTCTCTTATTATCTATATACTGGGAGGAGCACGCGCGCGCGCACGCACACACACACACACACACACACACACACACACACACACACACACACACACACACACACACACACACACACACACACACACACACACACACACACACACACACACACACACCACTGTCATTTTCCCACCAATTTTGGAGACCACCCATTTGCTCTGTCACGTCCACATTCCTAAGGACGTGTGGAAGGATGTGTGTAATCAATGCGGCCAGGTTTGGGTGGGCTGGGGCTGATTGCACAAATGACATAACTCTACAGACAGTAGGGAATATGCAGTTGGTATATTCACTGATTTAAAAAACATCACTGATACAATAGATCACACAATATTAATCAACTTCAAAAACATGGTACCAGGGGTGTTGCTCTCAACTGTATCAGAAGTTATTTCACTAAAAGAAATCCATTTGTGCTAATAAATGATCCCAACTCAGAACAGCTTGACATAAATTTTGGGGCACCACAGGGGTCAGTTTTGGGCCCAAAGCTATTTATTTTATACATGAATGTCTTATGTTAGGTTTCCACGGAATTAAAATATTTTCTATTTGCAAATGATATTACCATCTTTGCCGCAGGTGTGAATTTGGTTTATTACATTTGGTTACAACAGAACTGGCTAAACTGAAACTATGGTTTGACTTAAATAAATTATCATTGAATTTAAATAAAACTAAAGCTATGCTGTTTAGAAATTGGCTAATAAATACAAATACCGGTATGACAGTAACAATAAAATATATAATGTATTTCTATAGCCCCTTCCACTACTGTTGCAGAAGCTCAAGGTGTCGTACACTATTACAGTACAACAGCAGACAAAAAGACAGAAAAGATTGTAAAAATAGCAAATATAAGAACAAGTATATAAAAAAACTGAATAAAGCACATAGGAACAATAAAAAGTAAAATAATTAATAAAAGAAAGGTAGAATAAAACTGAGTTTTTAGAGTATTTATGGAGCAGTGCAGAGAAATAATTCCCTGTAGGGCCTTTAGTCTATTATTTAAGTTATGGGTAGGTAAAATAAGCCATGATTCAAGATCATCACACACTGGTGAAATTACAGGTCCTTCTCAAAAAATGTGCATATTGTGATAAAGTTCATTATTTTCTGTGATGTACTGATAAACATTAGACTTTCATGTATATTAGATTCAATACACACAACTGAAGTAGTTCAAGCCTTTTATTGTTTCTAATATTGATGATTGTGGCATACAGCTCATGAAAACCCAAAATTCCTATCTCAAAAATGTTTGCATATCATGAAAAGGTTCTCTAAACTAGCTATTAACCTAATAATCTGAATCAACTAATTAACTCTAAACACCTGCAAAAGATTCCTGAGGCTTTTAAAAACTCCCAGCCTGGTTCATTACTCAAAACCGCAATCATGGGTAAGACTGCAGACCTGACTGCTGTCCAGAAGGCCATCATTGACACCCTCAAGCAAGAGGGTAAGACACAGAAAGAAATGTCTGAACGAATAGGCTGTTGCCAAAGTGCTGTATCAAGGCACCTCAGTGGGAAGTCTGTGGGAAGGAAAAAGTGTGGCAGAAAACGCTGCACAACAAGAAGGGGTGACCGGACACTGAGGAAGATTGTGGAGAAGGACTGATTCCAGACCTTGGGAGACCTACGGAAGCAGTGGACTGAGTCTGGAGTAGAAACTTCCAGAGCCACTGTGTACAGGCGTGTGCAGGAAATGGGCTACAGGTGCCGCATTCCCCAGGTCAAGCCACTTTTGAACCAGAAACAGCGGCAGAAATGCCTGACCTGGGCTACAGAGAAGCAGCACTGGACTGTTGCTCAGTGGTCCAAAAGTACTTTTTTCGGATGAAAACAAATTTTGCACGTCATTCAGAGATCAAGGTGCCAGAGTCTGGAGGAAGACTGGGCAGAGGGAAATGCCAAAACGCCTGAAGTCCAGTGTCAAGTACCCACAGTCAGTGATGGTCTGGAGTGCCATGTCAGCTGCTGGTGTTGGTCCACTGTGTTTTATCAAGGGCAGGGTCAATGCAGCTAGCTATCGGGAGATTTTGGAGCACTTCATGCTTCCATCTGCTGAAAAGCTTTATGGAGATGAAGATTTCATTTTTCAGCATGACCTGGCACCTGCTCACAGTGCCAAAACCACTGGTAAATGGTTTACTGACCATGGTAATACTGTGTTCAATTTGCCTGCCAACTCTCCTGACCTGAACCCCATAGAGAATCTGTGGGATATTGTGAGGAGAAAGTTGAGAGATGCAAGACCCAACAGTCTGGATGAGCTGAAGGCCACTATCGAAGCATCCTGGACCTCCATAACACCTCAGCAGTGCCACAGGCTGATTGCCTCCATGCCACGCCGCACTGAAGCAGTCATTTCTGCAAAAGGATTCCGGACCAAGTACTGAGTACATAACTGAACATAATTATTTGAAGTTTGACTTTTTTTGTATTAAAAACACTTTTTATTGGTCGGATGAAATATGCTTATTTTTTGAGATAGGAATTTTGGGTTTTCATGAGCTGTATGCCAAAATCATCAATATTAGAAACAATAAAAGGCTTGAACTACTTCAGTTGTGTGTAATGAATCTAATATATATGAAAGTCTAATGTTTATCAGTACATTACAGAAAATAATGAACTTTATCACAATATGTAATTTTTTTGAGAAGGACCTGTATATCTTCCCATTTGACCCATCCTGGCGGGAAGCGGTGAGATGCAGACATGGCTGCAATTGGGAACCATTTGGTGGTTTAAAAAAATGTTTTAAAGGAAAAATGAATCTGAATGCAAATGATTACAAGAGATTTATTTTTTATTTTTGCCACTTTAGTTTTGGGACAACCTTCTCCATTACACAAACAACCCAGCAACCAGCCCCAGAGCTGTGCAGTTTCTAAGAATTTTTTTTGATGTTTTCCATTTTGTGAGTTAAAGTTAAAGTCCCATTAGTTGTCACACACACTGATGTGTGTGCGAAATTTGTTCTCCGCATTTGACCCATCCCCTGGGGGAGCGGTGAGCTGCAGACACAGCCGCGCTCGGGAACCATTTGGTGGTTTAACCCCCCAATCCAACCCCTTAATGCTGAGTGTCACGCAGGGAGGCATTGGGTCCCAATTTTTCAAAGTCTTTGGTATGATCCGACCAGGAATCGAACCCTGATCTCCCAGTCTCAGGGCGGACACTCTACCACTAGGCCACTGAGCTGGTTATACGTTCTCATGTGTGGTTAAATGTGCCTTTTAGTTAAAACTGTGTCTACAAACATCTCAGGAAAATTGTTTCTGTCCTGTGTGTATTCTCATGTGTTTGTTTAAATTTGCCTTTCGTGTAAACTTCTGTCTACAAACATCACAGACAAATGGTTTTTGTCCTGTGTGGCTCCTCATATGCATATTCAGATGTGTCTTCTGACTAAAACATTGACCACAAATATCACAAGAAAATGGTTTTTGTCCTGTGTGTGTTCTCATGTGTCTGCTTAAATTTGCCTTTCGTGTAAATCTTTGTCCACAAACATCGCAGCCAAACATTTTTTGTCCTGTGTGGATTTTCATGTGTGTGTTTAAATTTTCCTTTTGGGTAAATCTTTGTCCACAAACATTGCAGCAAAATGGTTTTTGTCCTGTGTGACGTACCATATGTCTGTTTAAAGCCATCTTTTGACGAAAAGGTCGACCACAAACACCACAAGAAAACCGTTTCTGAGCCGTGTGGATTTTCATGTGTGTGTTTAAATTGGTCTTTCGGGTAAAACTTTGTTGACAAACGTCACAACAAAATGGTTTCTGTCCCGTGTGGACTTTCATGTGTCTGTTTAAATGTGACTTCAGGCTAAAACTTTGACTACAAACATCACAAGCAAACACCTTCTGTCCCTCCTGCGCATTAAAATTCATATTTTGGCTACTTTCATCACAAGGATCATAACAAAATGATTTTGGTCCTGTGTGGATTGTGTCTTCAGTTTTGAACCCAGGTTGTGAGAGGAGTTTCAGCTGCATGTGAGGTTTGTCATCCACCTCTTCATCGTCCTCACTGTCTTCAGTCTCTGATGAGCTGTAACAGTTATCGGTGTTTAGTTTTGGGCTCCTGGTAGTTTCAGCTCCTCCACAGTAATCCTCATCGGCTTTAACTTCCATCTGCTCAGCTGAACTGCTGATCGAAAGGTCTCTGCCTTCCATTTGGTGCTGATGAATCTGTGCGATTAGAGGTTCATCCTCACCTTCACTCTTCAAAGTAGCAACATTGAATGAAAACCGGGTGGCATCAGGCTGATTTATCCCACCGAGTTGATCTTCCAAACTGGTCCACAGTTTTTCTTTTTCCTCTTTTATCTTGAGAAGCTCTGGTTCCTGTTGGTTCACATCTGGCCTCCAATCTTCAGGAACCTCTTCTTTACCCACCACCACCTGCAGAACATCTGCAGGAAGAGCTGAAACACAGGAACACCATTTCATTTCTAACTGGTTTCAGGTATTCCATTGTGTGGTTCTTTTCTAAAACTCAACGTAGTAAAGATTTGTTTTTACCTTTTAAACCTTTACGCTGTAGCCTTCCTCAGAGCACCGCTGATGTTCCTTCACCACTTATCTGCAGGCAGCTCTACGGCCCACACCCTCCCTGGTGATTACAATGTCCCACAAGCGATCCAATGTGTAAACCATCATCTCTGTTCATGGGCCTGGGTCCATGTCTCCTTATTTATTTATTTATCGTTTCTTTAATCCATCTTTATATTTTTGTTGTTGGTAACAATAAAATAAAATAATAATACATTTAATTTGTATTGTGCTTTACCTCATAAAAATCTCAAAGCGCTTACAGAAAAAAAAATAAAAATGAAAGATTAAATGCTTTCCTTAACAGAAAGGAATCATATTGTATTAATGATCTGTGTACTGTCCCATGGGTTTCCCTTGTGCAGTGGTCTTTTACTGCTGATTTCTTCAGTGTACTTTCTCTCTTTTGTGTCTTGGGACTAGTTTCCTTCTCACATTCCTTTCTACGTTCTTTCTTTCGTGTGCTGAGTTGGCGTCCGGTTTCACCCATGTTTGTTTTATTGCAGAGTTTGCATATTTCATATATGACTCCACACTTTTAGTCCTGCTGATATCTTGTCTTTTGGGTGTACTAATCCATTTCTGACTTTCATGTCTTGTTTTGTTGGTGTGTTTTTTTCATTGCTATTATTTTTGTTATGCCTTTGATGTACGGAAGGGCTATTACTGGTTTTGGTACGTCTTTCTTTCCGCTGTTGTTTGTTGTTTTCCTTTGTTTATTTACCATGTTGGTTATTTGCAGGATTTTAAAGCATTTAGTATGGGTTGGTCCTCTTGTCGCTCATGGAATATTGTCATCAGCAAAGAGGGCGTGGGCAGTAGGCGACGACATCAACCTCTGCTACCCGCAGATAAACGGAGAAAGAAGTGGCGCTACCAACATTGGCGGTGCTCTGAGGCGACAGCAATAACCAAAACACTCAGACGAAGTTGTTAAACGTACAGCTTTTTTTTAATGTTTATGTTTATTTATTTGGCAGACGCTTTTATCCAAAGCGACTTACAATTTATAACCTATAGAGCATGTTGTGATCTGTGGGGGAAACCGGAGTACCCGGAGGAAACCCACGCATGCATGGGGAGAACACGCAACTCCACGCAGAAAGGCCGCAGCCGAGTTTCGAACCTGCGACCTTCGTGCTGTGAGGCAACAGTGCTAACCACTGCTCCACCATGCAGCCTCTCCTGCATTTTTCTGTGTCTGGTTTGATTATGTCAATTTGATGAACCACCATAAATCTTGTCATGTGGTAAGTAGCAGCTACGCTAGGGGAGAGGAGATTCTGTAGTAATGTCACATATGCAACATGCCAACGTCTGATTTCTAGTCATAGGAATCACACATTTTTACAAGCTTATAAGTCTCAACATACGTGACTGTTGTGGTCGACACAGACATAACTTTTCATTTAAATTGAAATACAACATATGTTCGATTCAGGGCATAAAGGCTACTTCACACTGGAAGCAACAGCGAGGCGGAACAGCAGAGGAACATCGCTGCTTCAAATAGAATCCACTGTAGTCTATGCGGTGTTTCAAACCAGCCGCAATGCAGCAATTTTCAGGCGACCCCAGGGATCTCATTTATCAAACATTGCGTAGAATCCTTACTAAAACCGTACTTAAGCTCAGCAAAAAAAAAGTACTTACGCCAAGTAGGTTTGTGATCTATCAAACATGGAGTACGCACAGCTGCACGCAATCTCCGCTTCATAAATCAGAAACTATCTAGAAATGTTCTCAGCTGCTTTTTAGTCACATCCCACCCTCACCACGCCCACTTACTGCCATAAATAGTCAATGCAAAGTGCCTTGTGGATCTCATGCATATACATAAGTCGGCTGTTGCAGCGCTCCACTAACGACATGCCGACCGTAGATCAAGGCAGATCAAGGAAGCACAATTTCACAGAAGCAGAAGTTGAGGTACTTGTGGGTGAGGTGGAGAAATGAAAGGAAGTGCTTTTGCAAAACAAATAAGAGAAAATCCACGGAGTGGCACAGCGTTGCTGAAGCTGTCAATGCTGAGTTCTTCAGAGAGATCTGTGGCGGACATTAAAAAAATGATCCGATCAGGATTCAATCCCCAGACTCCCGAGTGAAAGTCACGCCCTCTAACCAGTCAGCCAAACAGAGATCTCCCTTGTACAACTAGCCAGGGCGCATGATCAGTCGGGTCACAGTGACGGGACACACACACACTGTCACAGACACATGATATTCTGTCTCAATCTGTCCCCCTGCTGATTTCTGCATTCCGTATTCTGCGCTTCAGGCTGTGTGCATGTGTGTGTGCGCGTGCATGTGTGTGTGTGGGGGGTCTTGTTCTGTGTGAAAACGAAGCAGTACAAGTGATAATGCTGCAGGATTTAATAATTTTATCCTTCTCAGCAGCAGCACTGCAGGTGCTCTCAATGTCCAAAATGTGCGTAAGCCAGGTCCTTAGTCAACTTAAAGTTGCGCACATTTTTCTGCTGAGTTTTCTTTCATAAATCCCAAAGTTTGCGTGGAAAGTTGCTTGCTCAGTTTTCCGCCCCCGTTTTGTGCGTAAGCAAGCTTGATAAATGAGGCCCCAGATCTTTTGCCCACTAGAACAGATCCCATCAACACCATGGCTGCAACTGTTTTAGAGCATGAAGTGCTTCCTGCTGCTGACCAGCTTTAAGGAGATGCAGATTTCATTTTCTAACAGGACTTGTTTAACGACCATGGTATCCCTGTTCTTGATTGGCCAACAAACTCACTTAATCTTAAAAGAAAATATATGGGGTATTGTGAAGAGTGAGATGCATTACGCCAGACCCAACAATTCAGAAGGGCTCAAGGCCACCATTAGAGCAACGTGGGCTCTCATAAAGCCTTAGCAATACCACAGACTGATTAACTCCATGCCACGCCACATTGCTGCAGTCATCCAGGCCAAAGAAGCCCCAACTAAATACTGAGTGCTGTACATGCTCATACATTTCAGTTGGCCAACATTTCTAAAATTCCTTTTTTTTGCATTGGTCTTAAATGATATTCTAATATTCTGAGATAGTGAATTTAGGACTTACAATAGTTGAATGGAATTACTGAAATAAATCTATTTTATCATGACACTCTAATTTTATGACCAGAATCTGTACACTTACCGTCGTTGTCCCATGCATCCTCATCACTGTCTTCAGTCTCTGGAGAGTTGGGACCATCTTCAGGAGTATTTACATCAGGGTTCCAGGTAGTTTCTGCTCCTCTCCAGCACTCCTCGTTAGCTGAGCTGCTGATTGGAAGATCTCTGCCTCTCATTTGATGCAGATAAATCTGTGATATTTGAGGTTTCTCTTCCCTATCCTCACTCTTCAGAGGAACTGAAGTTTCGTTGAGCTGTTCACCCTCCAGACCGGTCTCCTCCTCTTTTATGTTGAGAGTCTCTGAGCCCTGCTGAACAATATTAGGTCCCCAACCATCAGGAGCATCTATACTCAGCGCCCTCTGCTGATCATCTGTAGGAAACACAAAAACACACGGACCTGGATATAAATGCTCCTTTTCCCTGTCAACAGGAGAGAATTGATGTTTCCTTGAAGTCTGTTGACAAGAGTTACTGAATTTATTGAAAATGAATACTTGTGAGGTTTCTGCACATTAAAACCAGTGTGGTTTGTACTGCAATAGCATATTTCAAGCTAGACGTTGTAAAAAGTTCCAAAATCTGCAGCAAATTTCGCTTTGTTTTTGTAATTTGAGCATTTTAGTATACTTATATTAATCAACGCACTCCCGACTGAGTCCACAACTCAGTGAGGGAAGCTGCTTCTGGGACAGAATCTCCCTGAACAAATGATTTGGGTCAAATAGATGCTGCTGCTAGCCATTGTCTAATCTTGGGACTCGTGCACAAATAACTGACTCAGAGTTTATTTCTATTTTGGCTTTCAGCAACATTTAAAACTAACAAGTGTTATCTTGAGTTTAACGAATCAGAGGCGCGGATGTCGACCTCAGATGAGGTCAATTGATTCACCAGTTAGCAAGATACGCTACACATAGCCAGGAAACTAAGCACACTAGCTAGCAGAAAAACAACAAAGCGACAGCTAACATTCTTACGTTTAGTGAAAAGAATTGGAAGGTACGAACCAAATCTTTGCAGTCTGGATTTGTGATTGAAAACATTCTGATCTGACTCCATCATCACATCCCTGTTAGCTTTCGTTCGTTAAAACAAAAAATCCCTAAAATAATCAGACGGTTGATACAGCTGTTAGGGCAAAAAGCTGGTATTTATGTTAAATAATAAGTCCAAAAAAATAAATAAATAAAAATAAAGATAAATGGAAAGTTGGCTGTGTCTCAATTCAGGGTCTGCATCCTACCTCGGCCGGATTCGTCGGCCGGTTACGTCACAGCGCCGCGACTCGGCCTGTCCCAATTCGAAGACTCCTTCAAATGCGGTCGACGAATGCGGCCTTCTTTTCGCCTGAATGAAGGATGGGTCGGGTGTATCCTTCAACAGGTAGCATTTCCCAAGATGCCTTGCGGGCCGGCCGGCAGAAAAACTTAAAAACAATGGCGGACAGTGAAGCGGGAGCTGTCGGAGAGGATTGCGCATATAAATGTAAGTATAAACTTGAAAACTGTCAGTTTAAGGACTTTTTGTGATACATGAACGTTATTTTAGTTAGAAATGTTTAGTGATGGAATGATGATACCTCAAGGAGTGTATTGACACACTAGCCAAACTGTGTCGGCACTGTATTGACACTGTGTTGGTCACTCAATAGCGACACCTGCAGTATTTCTAAAATCATTGCAGGTAAATAAGATGGAAAAGGTTACATGCTGCAAACCCACACCAGGTGTGCAAGATTTAATTTCCTGTAATCAAAATATTATATCATTATGCAATTTAATTTACTCAATTTGTTAAGTTCTTTATGAAAGGAGTTTAACATTTGCTTGTAACCTTTGTGTAAATGCTACAATGAGTTGGCATGTTAAATCTTCTGAATGTGTCTAATAAAAATCAGAAGTAAAAGTTTTAACTTGTGTAAATGTGTTAACCTCTGTGTTAGATCATACAAAATAAAAGACTAAATATGGATTCATTTATGCATTTTTATTGAGGAACAAAAGTTTGTGCAGTAAGTTTGCTCCAAGGCGATTTCTCCTCTTAGACACCAGTTCCCCTGCCTTAGAAAACACTCTTTCACAGGGTACAGATGAAGATGGTGTGCATAAGAATTGAAGTGCGAGTTGATAAAGGTGTGGATATAAATTCTGGTTATTTTTCCAATATTGTAATGGGTCTTGTGTTCTTGGTGCATTTCTTTCAGCCAGGTAGCGTTGGACTTCAATTATGGAATTGGCTGTAGTATTAGAGGTCATCCTGCTCTCCTCAACCTCCATATCAAGGTGCCTCCAGAGATTGTGTCCTAACAAATAAATTGGAAATAAGTCTGTTAATCATTGGTTTACTATCACATGACAAACTTCCGCAGAAATAAACAAATATTCACAAAGAAATGTGTTTTCATACCTGAACTGTGTTCTGATCCATGTGAAGTGCTAGGCTCCTCTACTGCTGGGTCAGGCTCATGGCTCCTCATTTCAGCAGCACACTCTGACTTCAGTCTCTTGACAGCTTCAGTTGCTTTCAGTGGACTAAAAAAGCCAGCAGTTTTAAACCTGGGGTCCAACAATGTTGCCAGTGACATCACACTGAGCGATTCCATGTTGCAGATGGACTCGGTTAGCCGCTTTGACAGATTTTCAGCCAGCTGTTTAGCAGTGGGTTTTGTCACCGTTGAAGATTGATGTAGAAGCTCAATGTGGATCATTCTCATCAATGGAATAACCTTTGACCCCGAGACTCTTTTTTCCTCAGAGAGTTCTCTTGTGGCTTGGTAAAAAGGAGCAAGCACCCTGAGCATCTCTTCAATGATTTCAAATTCTTCTGGAGTCAGTGGAGTGAGATCAGTTTTTAATGAGGCCAGTGACACCCAGACTGCCTCCTTCTGCTCAGTCAATCTCTCCAGCATGTGGTAGGTGCTGTTCCATTGTGTCGGCACCTCATTTATTAATTTATGCAATGGTGTTCCCAGCTGTTGCTGCATTTGAGTGAGCTTTTCCTTGGCCATGGTGCTTGATCGAAAGTATGTCACAATTTGCCGTGCTTTGTTGCGTAGTTCTGTTAGTGTTGAGATTTGATCACATGACTTTCTTACAATTAAATTTATGGAATGGGCAATGCAAATGGTTTGCCGTACTTGCAGCATTCGAGCACATGCAATCATGTTTGCTGCTGCATCAGTGACAAGACACCTGACTTTGCCTGCTATGCCCCACTCCTTCATGAGGCTCCTTTTAACTGTGGCCATGTTTTCTGCAGTGTGTTTCTGAGGGAAATGCTGCACTCCCAAGACTGATGAACAGAGTTCATGGCTTTCTTTGTCCACATAGTGGCAAGTAACGGCAAGATATGCCTCCATATTAATGGATGTCCACATATCAGCTGTTAAACTAACAGCAATGACGCTCTGGAGGTCCTTTTTTGTTTTCTCCTTTTCCTCTTCATATTTCTGGCTCACCAAGTCCTTGATGACCTACAAGTAAACATACCAATACTGTAATACCAATGTTACATAAACACACACACACACACACACACACACACACACACACACACACACACACACACACACACACCATGAAAGTAGTTGATTAATTAAAGCAAACATTTCTTAAACATACCTTCCTGCTTGGTAGAACATATGAGGGTGCAATAAGCTTCAGGAGCTCCCTGAATCCCTCATTTTCAACAATGGTGAGTGGCTGGCAGTCTTTGATGATCATTTTAACCACAGCATCATCCACTGCTTGCTTGTTAGGAACTGCAAGCCAAAAAGAAATACTTTTTTAAAAGCTTTAGAAAGCTTATGAAAAGGATTTTACAAGCAATACTACAGAGTCACACAAAGCCTTTTGTGTGTAATAGACTAATTTTGACAATTCAGATTTTTTGGTGATAATTTCAACATACCTGGGGTATCTACCAATTCATCGTTGCCATGCCGAACTCTAATGCCTCAGCATTGATGAAGTGCTCTTATTTGAGTAAGACAGCTCTGTGGAGCAGAGCCGACACTTCACCTACAATAAAATAAATAGTTAATTTATCTGAAAACAATTTAAGCCTCTTACCAGAGAAAGACTACAAACACATTTACAATACAGAAATAACAGTAAACGTTGCCAAATGGAGAAAACAATTTACCTTTTTTGGCGTCAAAAGATCAAAATTATTCCAGACTGGGGAAAACTTCTAGGAACGATCCATGAAGTCAGCGGAGAAAAGTGAGCGTGAGAGTAAGGAAAAATCCAAAATCAAACAGCAAAACTCTAACCAACAAATCCGCAACATGTCGATACAGTTTGTTTCCTTATAAACACAATTTGGCGCGGCGCATCCAAACGACACACAATCCTGTGTCGGTCACGTGATATTTTCTTAAAGCGATACACGCACCGATACGGGGTTTCACTCTTGTGCAGTCGACACTGTGCTGACGCGCCAGTGTCGTTCGTCCCATCACTAGAAATGTTACAGTAAAAGTGCTTGTATTGCGGTCTCGGCTCGTATGTTCGGCCGCGCTCGGTGTCGTACTTCTCCCACTACGTTTCCCCCTGATTTTAATAGAAGTTTGTATTTTAGGACCAAAAGAGAAAACCAGGGAATTTATTAAGCTTAGGGCGGAGATGGACCACATGATCACCGGAGCAAAGTATTCGGCGGCTGTGGCATGGAGGTACAACAACATCTCATATTTTAAAAACTCGTTTGAGTATATTTTTTTCTGCGAAAACATGAAAGGAATAACCCGTTGTCCTCTTTTCTCTTCCTGTTTCTTTTCTTACATGTTTGTTAAGACTATTCTGGAGAAAATGGGCATCCAGGGGAAGGTGCCAGCGATGAGCTTCTGGAGCTGATCTGGGAGGACATGAGGCTGCAGAGCAGCAGAGAGCACAGGAGAGAAGGAAGAACTTTGACAGCTTTTTACTTTGCTAGAAAAAAATGGTTAATGAAGATTAAACATGTACATGTAAAAGAAATATCTAAATAAAATCAGTTCTGCATTAAACTCTTGAATTTTATTTTTGTTTACAAATGAGAATTGTTTACTAGAGGGTATCCGCTGGGTCTTGAAAAGTCTTAAAAGGTGATAAATCGGTTTTGGTCAAATTAAGACCCTTAGAAAGTATTAAAAACTATTATCACATCTTTGCTCAGGCTCAGCTAGTCTAAAGTATTTTCTCTGAATTAGCTCTCCAACAGTCAAGGAAATGATTAACCCCCAGAGACCCACGGTTGTAGTATCACAACATCAGATTTAAGTCTACAAAAATAAACCTTCCCCATTTTTTTTCTTTTTAAAACCACATTTACATTGCTAATAGGTCCTATTCAGTTCTGCAACACTATTGGCTGTTAAAATGTGTAAATAGGCCCGTTTATCTGGCCTCCTAGAACAACATGTGAAAGGTTAAAAATATTTTGCAGTTGTTTTCTAAATTTGGGTTTCTGGGGGTTAAAAAGCTAAATAAAACGTCGAGCTCCATCGTTTAAGGTTCCTTCTGCCCAGCGGTTCCACGGTTGCTAGGCGACGGAACGTTCGCCGAGGGAGTTCATGAAGGCTAGGCCTGTCCAAATTCACAGCCGTTAACATCCGGTCTACCCGGCCGACGGAGGACGCAGCCCACGTCGGCCGGGTGGGCTGGGTCCTTCGAAGGATGCAGACCCTGAATTGAGACACAGCCACAGCCTACGATTTCCTTTCTTTACTCTTCTTCCTCGGGTTAGTCCCGCGAAAGCATTTTCTCGTTGGCGACGCCAACAGGGTTGGTGGAGAACTGCAGCGCCTCTTCAAAAACGCTGAGTAACCCCTACGCTTCACAGATTAATAAACATAACGTCCTAAAAAATCACCCCCAAAACATATCAAAGTGCAAAACAAATATAAGATAAAAACCTAGCATGTGGTGTATGTGATTTGATTATTTTATGATCAGATGGGATCTCACCATCTGATACAAATAAGTGATTCTGTCTGCAGTTCACGTTAATTTATGCTTACATGCTGTCAAAGAAGCAGAAAGTTCTTGCAACACCGCATTTTTAGATATAAAAAATACTAAGAAATAACATTCATGAAGATCCAAATCACCTTTATTGAAGAGCAGAAAAACTACAAAGATCATGTCATGGCACTGAAAGTTATCATATTACACATATCTAGTTACAGAATGAACTAAATTATTAATTCATTAATTTTAAATGTTAAACCCAATAATTTTAACACATTTTAAAGTTGGATTCTCAATTTGTGTCTAAAAGTAGTTGATTGAAAGAGAAAAAGCTGTGTTGACATTTATTTTTTAATTCACTTTGTGTCTTAAGTTTGAAGGTGAGTCCATGATCCGTCACCCAGATCACTCGAGAGATAAACGGGAGGCCAGAGACTCATCTCAGGAGAAGGATAGGGAGGACAGAGCATCTTTCTGTATTCTTGGGAGTTTAGAGTTCTTTGGCTGTAATGCCAAGCGTAGGGAGCCAGATTTAGATAGCCTATATTGTTTTGGGACAGGCTAGAGATAAAATTCCTCTCTGCCTTTCAGTCCATTTTGGTCTCAAGGACATCCCAACAGTTGAATCAATAGAAGTTAAGTCTCCAAAAAACCAGGCTGCAACATTCTCCAATCTTGTATACATTCTGCGTGCAAATTCAGAAACACTGCTAGATTACTGAGAGCATCTAGCTTCCCATTCATCTCGAGCAACGCCTGAGTCTGAGAGCTCAAAGCATGGCAAACACCTTGTCTGAGGTTGGGAGCTCTGCCAATCGCTCCCGTCAGCTCCAAGCAGCAGAAACCTGGTAATCATCATTCCAAAAATAACACAGATTGGTCGTAGTTGGAGGAACATAAACAGGAAGATGCACAAGTGAATTTACTAGAGATTTCCGAACTTTGCCCACATTACATACACAGACACAAACATCTATTTGGTGACAGACATTGCACTACACCCTTATTTGTGATGAAATCACTATGACAACATCCACTCGATAGTTTTTTTTTTTCCCTTTTACAGTCCAAACAAATATCTTCATAAACTTTGCACCTTTAACCTTGTGAACACATCTGCTGTCATCTTCTCAGTTGGACAAAAAACAAAAACCACATCGTCTTTCACAAAGTGATGCGTAGTGTCAACGTGTTTGCTTCTCTGACGGTTTGTTGGGTTCTTTGCTAGGCTTATTGTCCATTTGTTTTCCTCAAAAATCTTGACAACCTTAGGCCCCCTTGATTGGGGGTGAGACAGGGCTTCATAAATAAAATGATTTATTAATAGATTATCCCATTACTGCTAGCAGACTCCAACACCATGTTTTATGGTATTATCACTCAATAAAACGTGGTACTCATAGGACAAGAACTCAGGGCCCTTATCTTCCAGGCATTTTACCTTCGCAAAGGGTGCCATGTCTGCTAAGACCCGTTTAGTTGCTTAAACTGCCTTAATATTTCTTAGAGAATACACATAAATAGTACCAGAACAGCATACTTTTAACCTTCAAATGACTCTAGCGCACATGTTATATCCCGCTTAATTTCCGTTTAAAGATAGCAGTGGTCCGCGGCCGTAAATCAGCGTGTTGGACATGTCTGGGCCCATAACCTGCTGCATCGTTACTTCCAGTGGCTGGATTTCTGCCACTTGGTGCAGCAGTTTTTTTCGGCTCTGCCGAAGCACACACTCTGACAAGCACTGATGCAGTATGGCTAACTTGAACTATTCGAAATAAGAAGACATTTACTGAACAACTGTGCTCATCCACTCTCTTATAGCAGTAATGTTGTCCCATACATTCACACAAGAGAGAAGACCACACCCTTATTGACTTCAGAACTCCGCCCACATTACAAAGATCTTCTATTTAGTTAAAGACATCGCACTACAACAAGCACAGGGCAAACAAATCCATTTACAGCAACATTACCAATATTCACCTTGGACCAAATATTGCTTGTTTTCTTGAAATAGCACAATTTTAAATATGTTTATGCATATTTATAGGAGTTGATACTTATATCGAATATGCCAATTTTACTTTAAATAAGTTGTTACTTTAACTTATTTTTTATTCATGTCTGTAATCATTTATAAAATCATACTGTGTAAAACTACAATCTGGAGTTTTTCCACTTTCGGTAAATATGTGATTTTGTTAAATCCGTAAATGTGATACTGTGATATAATGTAGGCCATGTCTTTTTTTTTCTTTTTTTTTGCTAAGCCCGTCCCCGTCCCATAGAGCCTCATGCAATAGGAACTGACCACTGCTCAGCACTAGCCAATAGTGATTGACATCTGCTTACGTACAGATGTCAATCACAGATGCATGTTGAGTACATACATACCGAGACAGATGGAGAGTTGGTGGCCTTTTTCGTGGTCTTTAATATACATACATAGGAATAAACAGAACAACATGACGGTAATTATTGTAAAACAATGTATTTTAGCTCTGTTGGTCAGCTCAAGGTGTGCGTTCATTAATGAGAAGCATTACTTTTGGCCATAAGTATGAAATAAGGGAGAAGGGCATAAGAAGCGATACATTTGTTGGCCGCTAGATGATGCAGTCATAAAAATAGATTTCTGCTTTAACCCTTGGAGGTTCCTAAAAAAAAGCTACACTGGGGACCCTCGCACAAAAATATGCATTTGAGCAAAACGTATATTAAAAAGTATATATTTCAAAAGTCAGTATTTTTTTCACAGATCCTTTCCTTAGCTTCAGTCCTCACCAAACATAATAAAATATTTGAGAGTTTTTGAGATTTAACCCCTTTAGAGCTAAGTTTTGTCAAAATAAACAAACTTTAAAAAAATTTAAACCTAAATCATCTTTTGTGTTTTCACCTTTTGTGTGTTATGTCCAGAGGAACTCTTTTGGGGGTGAATTGTGAGGGCTCTAGAGTCACATATGAGCAAAAAATATATTTTGTTTTCTCTTTTTTGTGTAGAGTCAGATATTCAAAAAAACTCACATCCAGGTCCATCGCACAGAAACATGCTCTTACAATGATAGTCATTTGAAAGTTTATTGGAACAACAAAGTGTGTGTTTGTGTGTTGCAAACAGTGCATGCAACAGTAGAGTGCAGCCAGCCAGGTCACATTTGGAGCAGAAGTGGGCAAACATGCTTCCTTGTCTTGGCAGAAATGGCACCTTTCTTTCATCCTCCTCTCTTCCTCCGGAGTCTGGAGGGCTGCTCTGTTGCTGGTCGACCCATCTCCGCTCAGGGAGCGGTACACTCCAGCCAGGATCAGCCAGGGGCGTGTCCAGGGGGTGGCTTGGGGTAGTACATGCCACCCCGCTATATTTCTTTCAAACTGACTTGTCCACAAAAAACTTGGGGTAAAAAAAATGGAGCACATGTTATATCCCGCCCATGCACAAAGAAGTGCACTACCTGGACCACACCATTTTAAAAGATTTGGCCAGCAGCCCAAAATATGTCCGCAGCTCTGTTGTGTCAGTCAACATTCACTCGGCATTTCTCCGGATCCCCACCATGTTTGTGTCGTGAACGATCAGGTTGCGGATTTCATCCGTAATCAAAAAATTAAAACAATGCTCAATGCTTTCTGTTCGGCTCACGTCATACCGAGTTTTGGACCAACGTTCCCATTACATAAACAACCAAACAAACGCCAGAACTATGCAGTTTCCAAGAGTTTTCTTGAGGTTTCCCCTTTTGTGTGAATTCTCATATGTGTCGTTAAATGTGGCTTTTGGTTAAAACTTTGTCCACAAACATCACAGGAAAAAGGTTTCTGTCCTGTGTGTATTCTCATGTGTGTGTTTAAACTTGTTTTTCGAGTAAATCTCTGTCCACAAACATCGCAGCCAAACGGTTTTTGTCCTGTGTGGCTCCTCATATGTGTATTTAGATGTATCTTCTGACTAAAACTTCGACCACAAACATCACAAGAAAACGGTTTCTGGCCGGTGTGGATTCTCGTGTGAATTTTTAAGCTCGTCTTTTGGCTAAAGTTTCTACCACAAACATCACAACAGTACGGCTTCTGTCCTGTGTGGATTCTCATGTGTGAGTTTATATAGCCCTTGTTTCTAAACTGTTGTCCACAAACATCACAACAAAATGGTTTCTGTCCTGTGTGGATTCTCATGTGCATGTTTAAACTTATCTTCTGGCTAAAACTTCTACTGCACACATCACAACTATACGGTTTCTGTCCCGTGTGGATTCTCATGTGTATGTTTAGATTTGTCTTTCGGGTAAAACTTTGTTGACAAACATCACAGCAAAATGGTTTCTGTCCCGTGTGAATAATCATGTGTCTGTTTAAACGTGACTTCTGGCTAAAACTGTGTCTACAAACATCACAAACAAACACCTTCTGTCCCTCCTGGACTGTCATCTGTGCATTAAAATTCATATTTTGGCTACTTTCATCACAAGGATCATAACAAAATGATTTTGGTCCTGTGTGGATTGCGTCTTCAGTTTTTGATCCAGGCTCTGACAGGAGCTTCAGCTGCATGTGAGGGTTGTTCCCATCTTCAACCTCTTCATCATCCTCACTGGCTTCAGCCTCTGAACTGTAACCGTCTTCAGTGTTTAAATTTGGGCTGTCACAGTCATCTTCATCAGCTTCTACTTCCATCTGCTCAGCTGAACTGCTGACTGAAAGACCTCTTCCTTCCATTTGGTGCTGATTAATCTGTGAAATTAGAGGTTCTTCCTCATCCTCACTCTTCAAAGTAACAATGTTGAACGAAACCCTGGTGGCATCAGGCTTCTTCATGCCACTGAGCTGATGTTCTTTCAGACTGGTCCACTGTTCCTCCTCTTCCTCTGTAATGTTGAGAGGCTCTAGTTCTTGTTGGTTCACATCTGGCCTCCAATCTTCAGGAACCTCTTCTTTAACCACCACCACCTGCAGAACATCTGCAGGAAGCACTGAAACACATGAACACCATTTAATTTGTAACTGGCTCCAGCTAGTTGGCCATTTTGTGTGTTTGCACCCCCCCCCCCCCCCCCCCCAAAAAAAAATTGTACCACGTGTTGTATGGAGTATAATCAGACTTTTTAATGTATGGAATTAAGCCTGGATTATGTCTCTCATTATGTGAAATCAATTCAAGACTTCCTAAGGTGTATCCGTGTGTGTGTGTGCTCCTACAGCCTTGTCTCGTATCACCCATGAAGTCGTAAATTGCTAGTTGCCTTCACCGAGCTGTGACCTCCAGAGAAGTGGAGGAGGCAAGGAGGTAAGGAGGCTCATTCTGGAGAAAGTCCAGGTGCACCAGCTAATGGTTTATCCAAACAAGACATAGACTTTTAGAATCGATAACATTGCTCCCCCTGACAAGCAAGAAGGAGGGGCAACGTTGGGCGAATGTCAACAGCATGCAGAGAAGAGGAAAGCCTGCAAGAGGCGCTAAGAAGAAACAAGTGAACGATGAAGACTGGGAGAAGAAAAGGTGACATCATGACATCCAAGATTTAAGGTCTCTTTGGGGCCGTTGGAGAAGTAACAAGAAGAGGAACACGTGACCAGGAAGTCTGAAGTCTGAAGCAGCAAACAAAGAAATGACTGTGAGGGAGGGAGGACAGAGTGAATAAGAGTCGGCGAGCCTGTGAGAGGGTATGGCCTTTGATGGGAAGAGTGTGTGAGGTACAGAGATGGAAAGAAGGAAGCTTTTGCTTTGAGCTTTTTGTCTGATAATCTGACCTAGTGTCATTTTTATAGAGCTTATTCAGCTCAACTTTGCTATAACTCGGTTTATTGGCAAAGAGTTGTTTTACCTTTTAACCCGCTTTGTCAGGGTTTCGTTTGGATTATTATTCTGTTTTTATCTGTGTGAAATAAAACCTAGTTCCTCGGATTCGTGGAACGAAAAAAGGATTTACGAGTGGGGTCTCCTCCTGTCGGTAACCGAGCATCCCGAGGTATTGATATAAGGGTTTCCTCCATCCTAGGCTACAGGTAAAGTCAGTTGTCTCCTCAGCATAAATGGAGCAGCTGGAAAGGGTCTTAACCTGAAGTGTACTTAAGCTTCATGGACTGGGGGTGTGTGTAGGTGTGTTTGCGCCTCCTCTGTCTGCTTAAACTAATTTTGGTCAGAATTAGAAGCTCTGGGTTTGTGGTGATTGCTGATCAACTCTCTACAGAGCAAGAGTGTTTGTTGGTAGCTGGCATTGTCACGCTCACTACATCGATTACAAGTCAAACGCTGAGATATTAGTAAAATCTAGAAGAGTGGAGCTAGCCCGGTAAATTGGCTTGTAACACCATGTTACTACTTTCTGCGTATCATACAAGTACACTCCATAAACCCAACAATCTACTTTAAACCGCAGCTTTTCTAGATATAGAGAAAGAAGATGAAAGGGTGTTTCATTCAAGACTAATTTCACTGTTTTAATTTTATTCTTAAGAGCTCGCATTTTCTTCAGCCATCGTAAGACATAGTAACCGTATGGAAAAGAAAATTTAACCTCATCAAAATGACAAATTACTGCACTGCTAGGCTCAATACATCTTCTAATAATTTTTGCCATAAAAACATGTTTATTTCTGTAGAATTATGTTTTAATGTTCAGCTACCATTGGAAGGGTTCAATGTTTCTACAACATGTTTAATTGTACTTTAGTAGTAGTGTGTTACATTTATTTCAAATATGCACATGAATATCTTTGAAAAGTGTAAACAAGGCTTTATTGTTTCATTTACCAGCTGTGGAGGTGCACGGACACGCGGCGCCGTTATCAGTTAGCAAGAGCTAAGTTAGCAACTATTTTCAAATGCAAAGGAGAGCGCACATCAGTGATTGGTCGGCCCATCAACAGCTTAAGATCATTTCCGGGTTGACACCACTTCTTTTAAATGTGTCAACAGCGCTGGTGTTGACGTAGTAGTGACATCTTGTGGAGGCAGGCATGGAGCAGATTAAAGAACGTCTGGCAGAAGAAGTCAGAAATTGTGAACATTTGTAGAACCCTTCACTGAAGGAATATAAAGATGCACGGCTTACCTTCAACTCCTGGACAGAAATCGCTGGAAACTTGGATTTGGAGGTGAAGGAATGCATGAAGAGATGGGTGGAAAATGAGGGATAAATTTGTCCGTATGAAATAGACTTTGAAGAGCAGCAGTGACTGTATTGGTGGCCAGAAAATCTCCACCTTTATATTTATGTTGGGCAGACCAGACAGAAAAGGTCTACACCCCCTGCTGTCCTGGAGGAGAATTGCTTTGTATAAAATCTAAAAGGAAAACATCTTCATCAATGTGTGTGTGTGTGTGTGTGTGTGTGTGTGTGTGTGTGTGTGTGTGTGTGTGTGTGTGTGTGTGTGTGTGTGTGTGTGTGTGTGTGTGTGTGTGTGTGTGTGTGTGTGTGTGCGTGTGCAAACTTGCTGACAGAGAAGTATAAACTAGGCTTAATGGTAATAACAGAAGAAACAACAGGGGGGGTTAGCTGACTCAGATGAAGATAAACTGTCACCTGGGTATTTTTCATTATTGTGTATGTCAATCAGCTTTTATGGCTCATTTGTAATTTATGTTTAATTAAAAAAAAGCCTAAAATCCTTTTGCACTTGTCTACTGGAAGCTTATCTATAGTTGTTTGTGAGAATGCTCCCCAGTTTCAATGGGACGATTATTATTGCTTGACAACATGCCATCACCAAGTGAGGAAAAAAGGAGAAAATTTGAGGAAAATTATGTTATGGGTAGCACCAGGCACCAAGGAGGAGGTGCTCTACTCTCCTTACCGTCATTGTCCCATGCATCCTCATGAATGTCTTCAGTTTCTGGAGAGCTGGGACCATCTTCATGGGTATTTAAACCAGGGTGCCAGGTAGTTTCCGCTCCTCTACAACTCTCCTCGTCAGCTGAGCTGATGATCGGAAGATCTCTGCCTTTCATTTGATGCCGATGAATCTGTGAGATTAGAGGTTCCTCTTCACCATCCTCACTTTTCAGTGGAACTGGAGTCATCTTGAGCTGTTCACCCTCCAGACTGGTCTCCACTTCCTCCTCCTCTTCTTTTATGTTGATAGGCTCTGAGCCCTGCTTAGGTTCCCAATCATCAGGAGCATCTATATCTGTAGGAAACACAAAAACACACAGACATGGATAAGTATCCTCATGAACCCACCTCAAATGACCAATGACTCCTTTTCTCCTGCTACTAGTGTCAACAGAAGGGAATTGTTTCTTTTAAGTCTGCTGACAGAAATTAATTAATTTATTGATGAATATTTGTGTGTCTTCACAATAAAGCAGCAGGACGTATTTCGAGCTAGTCATTGTAAAAAGTTCAAAAATCTGCAGCAAAAATGTGTAATTGTAATTTGAGCTTTTGAGAATATTTATATTCATCAACGCACATGGGTCCACAACTCAGTGAGGAAAGCGGTTTCTGAGACCTCCCAGAACAAATGATTTGAGTTTAATAGATGCTGCTGCTAACCTTTGTCTAATCTCATTCTCATGACTCGCGCACAAATACCTGATTCAATGTTTATTTTAGCTTTCAGCGACATTTAAAATAAACAAATTATATTTTAAATTTAACGAGTCAGAAGCGCAGATGTCACAGAGGCCAATTCATTCGTCAGTTAGCAAGTTAAGCTACACATAGCTAGGAAGCTAAGCATATTAGCTGGATGAAAACTGAGAATACAATATTTAACATTATCACACGTGATGGAATGAACTGATAAAACACAAACCGAATCTATGCAGTGCGGCTTTGCGGTTGAAAACGTGATTTATTTTGTTTTTTGGCTTTCGTTCCCTGAAACGTGACCGTTCCTGTTCGGACTCCATCATCACATCCCTTTCAGCTTTCGCTAATCAAAAATGCCCTTAATCAATTAAGCGCTGAGCAGCTGCTAGGGCAACTCTACTCTTCGTCGTCTGGTGCTTCCCTGATGTTTAGCGGTGGTATTTTCTCCTTAGCGACGCCAACAGACGCAATGGAGAACTGCAGCGGTTCTTCAAAAACAGCGTTTTGGTGCGACTTCCTTATTTTCTGATGCATCAGACAGATGGCATCTATGTACAAGAGGATTAAGGCCACTGAAACAGAAGAAAAAAGTATTCTGACTTTTTTCTCAGAATTCTGACTAATAATTCTGAGAAAAAGTCAGAATTCTCTTATTCTTTTTAGTTCCCCCAATCCTCTTCTGTTCATCTGCCTGATATGAGCAAATAATTCTGTCTGCAGTAAACATAAATTTATGTTTACATGCTCACAAAAAATCTTTGCAACACTGCTTGTTTATAAGAAAAAGCATTCATTATCAATCATAGAAACCAACTTTATTGAAAAAATAAAGATGTCATGGCAATGCAAGTAAGCAGGTGACTGAGATCTATTCACACAGAATGAATAAAACTAGAAAGTAAAATATTTTACATGTTGCACCTAATATGATCCAAATTTTAGTAAAAGAAAAGTTGGAATTTCAGTTTCAATCCAGAGAAATTCATGTTTGAAATCTTACTGGGCTGTGGTGTTTGATAGAAATATGTCCCACAACTGAATAATTAGATAAAAACAGACAATTAAATCACATTTCTTTTATTTGACATCAATATCGACGTGTTTTTTGCAGGCACTTTATATAGACTGCCTGAGACTCAACTTTTATAAATATATAAAATAAATCTTTAATTTGATGTAATTACTCCAAACTCTTTATTTTTTAAATAAGAGGCTCAGGTTTATCTGTCTTCAAAAAAAAAAAAAAAAAAAAAAACAAGCAAAATGTTAAAGAGATTTATTTTAACCTGCACTGCCTTTCCTTTTGCAGGCTTTGGCAACAATTAAAGCAAAAAATAAACAAAAAATACATCTAAGAATCCAGATACAGTAAAAATACAAAGAAAAATGTTTACATTGATACTGCTTGAATCTCTTTTCACCACAAAATTTGAAATTATGCAACATAAAACTTACTTCAACAAATAAATTCATAGAATTCCATTGCTTTAGTCAACAGCATGCATCGGTTTAAAGTGCTTTAAATCATCGAGCACATGAAAAAATATCATCAGCAAAAACTTAAACCTACAAATGCTGGCAGTTCAAACAAAGATCAATCTAAAATAGATTAGACACGTGTTCTGTTCCACCATGGGTGGTGTAGAAAAACTGGATCAATCCATGATTCTACTATTTTTAAACAACAGAGTCCTTGTGCCTTTATTCCTTCCTGCAAAATGATCCTTGCTTCTTTTAATCACCAACCTAATTCAATATTTATAATACATAACACTGTATTGCACAAAAAAAGGGGGGGGGGGGGGATACATTGTGGTCAATTTCAATAACTGGCAAACATTTTCAATAGAAATCTGCAGTTTCAGCCTGATATAATCAAAGCTAGCAGGCTACTCTTGGATAAACAAAGTGACTCGTTAGCCATCCAGGCTACACGTAGCAAAGATGATGTTCTAGCTTGTGATTGCTTGGCAGTGATTCCCATTTGTCGCACCTGAAGTGCATTTTTTAACACATAACTCCAGCACTCCCACCTTTAAATGTGTCGAAGGGCTTTTAAAGCTTAAGAAATTGTTTTTTTTAGCTCAAGTAGAACAAGAACCTTCAGAAGTTTAGCCTATGAGCTGAATAACAAGCACTTTAGTGTTTAAATATCCTATTTAACTCCCCAACACATTATGGTCCGTATCTATTAAGTGCAAAAATAGAAGCGAGGACAGCTTCACATGAGCGTTCCACGCTAGCTTTCCTCATCGGTTGACGTGTATGTGCGCCAGTCGGGGATTAGATCTTTTCCTGGTGCTACTTAGTGCTGCTGTGATGAATGACATAGTAGTCGTGAACGTACATCAACACGGCGATGGGCTGCCCAATAATAAGGGACATCCACACAGCGGCGTTGCCATAGTTTCCGTTCAGATAGCGACCCACAAACCAAGCCAGAGGAACCTGTTTGGATCAAAAGACCAGAGGTCAGATTATGAGCGCAGATCTGTGTCAAAGATTAGACATGGAGGGTGTGCAGATGACCATGCTGGGATGGAAATGAGTGTGTGTGTTTTACCTGTGCCATCATTCCCATAAAAGCCCAGAGTCTGAACATCTTCAGAGGAATACTAACCAGGTACTGAGAGAAGAAAAAGCAGTTCAGAAAAGGTTAAACATAAATGCGTTCTATATTATTACTATTATTAATAATATTAAAAACGTGACAAAATTACGCAGTGTTAATAAAAAGTTAAAACTACACAATTAAGATGAAATTAATTTTCCTCAGTTTGAAAGGTTGTTTATTGTTAAGAACTAAGAGCTTAATGCTTCACTTACCTCATGGAAGAAGGCAGAAACCAGGAATACGGCAGTTTGAGCCAGAAACTTGTTTGTCCCTCTTTTCAACATCGGCTTATAGAAATGTCTGGAAAACATGAATAGAAAAACACAAAGACAAATTACCTGGGATGTAGGAAAATATTGATGCAGTGAAATATCACAATATTTCATGTTATGATACAGAATCAATATTTAAAGGCAGTGAATCAATTTTGTATTTGAATTTCTTTTATGGGTGCATTGCAAACTTCAACTGCTAGGTGGCAGCAGTTTTTTCCTGCTTTATTCTGACGGAACAAGATCTTGCAAAAACATGCAGTGTGGCTTAGAAGCAGAGCTTATTTTTATGAAATTAAGCTTTAAAATTGCAAATATCATCCGACTTTAACTATTACAATATACCGTGCCGCCTGTATTATGATACATATCGTATTGTCTCTCCTGTAATTTAGGGATGGGTACCTTTGACATTTGAATCGATTCGGTACTAATTCCCGGTACCTAGGAATCGATACTTTTGAGTGTTTATTATTTTAATTCTCTTTTATAATTAAATAATATATTTTTCCTCAATATATAACAATATTTGATAAATATCACGATAAATAACATTCAACTATTTGTATTTTAACATCGTCCTTGTAGTTTTATAAGCTGATAATTAAACTGAAGCAAACATCTTTACTGTGAACTAAATTTACTGTGTATCTTCATTCCTTTTGCCGTCTTTTTCATTTGATTTTTCCTACTGGGAAGTTAGAATTTCCGAGGAGAAAGCGAACGCACCATTAGCTGATAACAATGGTGGCATAGAAAGCTAACATATCAAGCTAACGTTATCTTAAACAGTTTATTTAACTGCTGGAGCAGATTAAAACGATGATGCCTCACACTTAGATCGTTGTCACTGGTTTCATCTTCACCCAATCACCCGTCGCATTTAGTGAAGTGAAGCCGAACCTTAGAGCGCATTCATGTTCTTCTAGTCGGGAAATTCTGAGTTTTGAGGAGAAAGCGAACGCACCATTAGCGAAACGGAAGCTAACATATCAAGCTAACGTTATCTTAAACATTTTATTTATCTACCGGAGCAGATTAAGATGAGGATGTCTCACTTAGATCGTTGTCGCTGGTTTCATCATCACTCAGTTACCCATCACATTTAGTGAAGTGGACCCAAGCTTTAGCGTGCGTTCTTTCTACCATGCTGCTCTGTTTACAACTGGCTCGCAGCGAGCGACGACATAATGCTCTTGTGCATGCGCAGCTGTCTTGGCAAGTTCTCGTTATGAAGGACAGGTACCGAAACGAGGCACCGTTAGAAACGACGTGAATCGGTGCTCGGTCGGTACTATGGAATTCGGTCGGTACCTTAAAAAGTACCGAAATCAGTACCCATCCCTAAATGTGATACATATATTGTCTCCCCTGTACTGTGAAACATATCGTATAATTTCCCCTGTACTGTGATACATATCGTATCGTCGCCCCGTACTGTGATACATATCTTATAATCTCCCCTGTACTATCTCCCCTGTACCGTGATACATATCGTATCATCTCCCCTGTACTGTGATACATATCGTATTGTCTCCCCTGTACTGTGATACATATCGCATTGTCTCCCCTGTACTGTGATACATATCGCATTGTCTCCCCTGAACTGTGATACATATCGTATAATCTCCCCTGTACCGTGATACATATCGTACCGTCTCCCCTGTACTGTGATACATATCGTATTGTCTCCCCTGTACTGTGATACATATCATACTGTCTCCCCTGTACTGTGATACATATCATACTGTCTCCCCTGTACTGTGATACATATCGTATCGTCTCTCCTGTACTGTGATACATATCGTACCGTCTCCTCTGTACTGTGACACATATAGTATAATCTCCCCTGTACTGTGATACATATCGTATCGTCTCCCCTGTACTGTGATACATATCGTATTGTCTCTCCTGTACTGTGATACATATCGTACCGTCTCCTCTGTACTGTGATACATACGTATAATCTCCCCTGTACTGTGATACATATCATACTGTCTCCCCTGTACTGTGATACATATCGTATTGTCTCTCCTGTACTGTGATACATATCGTATTGTCTCTCCTGTACTGTGATACATATCGTACCGTCTCCTCTGTACTGTGATACATACGTATAATCTACCCCTGTACTGTGATACATATCATACTGTCTCCCCTGTACTGTGATACATATCGTATTGTTTCTCCTGTACTGTGATACATATCGTACCGTCTCCTCTGTACTGTGATACATATCGTACCGTCTCCTCTGTACTGTGATACATACGTATAATCTCCCCTGTACTGTGATACATATCATACTGTCTCCCCTGTACTGTGATACATATCGTATTGTCTCTCCTGTACTGTGATACATATCGTATCGTCTCCCCTGTACTGTGATACATATCGTATTGTCTCTCCTGTACTGTGATACATATCGTACCGTCTCCTCTGTACTGTGACACATATAGTATAATCTCCCCTGTACTGTGATACATATCATACTGTCTCCCCTGTACTGTGATACATATCGTATCATCTCCCCTGTACTGTGATACATATCGTATTGTCTCTCCTGTACTGTGATACATATAGTACCGTCTCCCCTGTACTGTGACACATATAGTATAATCTCCCCTGTACTGTGACACATATAGTATAATCTCCCCTGTACTGTGATACATATCGTATTACCTTATTGTATTACTTTGACCATTACCAACCGAAAATACAATGAAACCAACTTCTAGAAAACTTTTATTTAGTTATATATTAATTATATATATGAATTATAATATATTAGACCATCGAAAGGCAAAACATCAAGTACGTACCTCAGACACCATTTGTGCACTGGGATATTCCAGTTGGCCCAGAAATACGTGACAGACTCAGAGTTCCTGTGATAAACAAACAGCAGTGAAGATAACTGAATGAAACTGGTTTAGACATTACTGAATGATCTCTACTCACCACCAGTCCCTGTAGAACTCCCTGTCTCCAAACTGCAGCAGCTCAGCCACAAAGTTCATTGACGAGTGAAAAAACCAATAAAAGAATAATAACCATATCAAATGGTTAGGAACCTGGGAGAAAGATAAAGTGTTAAAGATGTGACTTAACGTCACCAACATGCAGCTCGGTCACAATACTCACAGCTAGTTTCAGCAGTCGCTCCACCATCCGGGAAAAGTCCATATCCTGTGAGAAATAGGAAATAAAATTATAATAAGTAGAAAATGTTTTTTAATCCTGTTTAGCTGCAGAAAATGGTCATACTATAAAAAAATGGTATATAAAATGGCCTGTATTTGATATAGCACCTTCTAGAGTCCTGGAACCCCCCAAGGCGCTTTACAACACAATCAGTCATTCACCCATTCACACACACATTCACACGCTGGTGGGGATGAGCTACAATGTAGCCACAGCTGCCCTGGGGCGCACTGACAGAGGCGAGGCTGCCGAGCACTGGCGCCACCGGTCCCTCCGACCACCACCAGCAGGCAACGTGGGTTAAGTGTCTTGCCCAAGGACACGACAGCGACAGACTGAGTGGGGCTCGAACCTGCAACCTTTCGATTACGGGGCGAGCACTTAACTCCTGTGCCACCATCGCCCCAAAAAAGAAATATGGAGTTTTACTGCAGAAACAATAAAAAGTATACACACCTGAAAAGGTTTCATCGAGTTCTGAATAGTGGGAACCATCCACTGAAAGATAACTTTAATAGTTAATAACTAAAATAATCACTTTCCGGTCATTTCTTCAAAGACAAATTCAGTATTTTGAGCACCGACTAAGCTGGTAAACATCTTACATACCTGCTGGATCAGTCCCACCAACAACTGCATGAGGAAAAGCTGAAAGAAATCAATCATTGCCAATAAATAAACCAAGAATCTTTGTTCACCAGTTGAAATTTAATAAAACTAATCCACTAAATTGCATGTTAAATCTATATTTGTGACTAACTCGTCTCACCATTTCAAAAAGTCTTCTCATCAGGAACCTTTTGCGTACTCGAGGAGATCGTGGGAAGTTGAGCTGGTAGCAAAGGGTTGGAGCAAAAACAAAGTAGTACATGTCTGAAGACAAAAAGAAGTCAACGTCGTTAATCAGCAGTAAATGTAAATACAGAACAAAAAACAACATGAAAAGGATGTGTTTTAATCCTTAAAAGTGCCATGATCAAGATGAGAGATCTGGTCATTTGTTGCTTCACAAATTATTCCAAAGTTCTTAGTCTCTACTATGATTGCTTATCTGGCCATCAGAAATATATGTAAATAATAAAGATGGCTGCTTTGTAGGTAACATTTTTCCACGTAGCACAGACTTTCCAGTTTTCAGATTTTAGACTCTTTACGAATAAAATGTTCCATTAAAAATAGTCATTTTAACTCAGTAAAACAATCTGTTAAATGTATTATTGCACGTTTCCACGCAGACGACCGCTCTTCTAATGATGAAGATTACAGACAGTACCTCTGTGTGTGAGGTTTCCTGGGTAGGAGACATGAGAATGAACTGCTGACCCGTTAGACTGTGGCACATCAGGACCTATGAACACAGCAGAGAAATGTTTCACTTTCTAAAAGTCAAACACAGTTGCAATCATTAAGCTGTACAAATTATTCAGACTTACAACACTCAGCACACTCAGTAACTGCCTACAATCTCAGTGGTCTAGTGGTAGAGTGTCCGCCCTGAGATCGGGAGATCAGGGGTTCGACTCCTGGTCGGATCATACCAAAGACTTTGAAAAAATGGGACCCAATGCCTCCCTGCTTGACACTCAGCATTAAGGGGTTGGATTGGGGGGTTAAACCACCAAATAGTTCCCGAGCGCGGCTTGTCTGCAGCTCACCGCTCCCCCAGGGGATGGGTCAAATGCGGAGAATAAATTTCACCACACACCTGTGTGTGTGTGACGACTAAATGAGACTTTAATCTTAATCTTTACCACCACTAGATGGCAGTGAGGGACAAAAGATAAACTAAAAAGAACTCTTGATGTGAACAGATTTGTGTAGATCATGTAAACATAAACAATAGTCAGGGTGACCCACTTACATGAATATGATCGTGTTAATCTTTTGGCTCTGGCTTGTCTGATCTCTCTGCACCACCTGTTGGAGTCTTGGTACGAGTAAAGCTTGAGGAAGAGGACTGTGTAGATCCCTAAAGAAATCACACCACCCACTGCAACACACACACACACACACACACACACACCCACACACACAGAGTTTACGGAGATTGTTCGTAAACATGAAAATTACTCCAGATTTCTTTCGTCATTTACTTCCTCACTAATAGCTACTAACAAACATGGTGGTACCTACAGAAAAACACACACAGTTAGCCTCGGGTGCATACCTGGGGTCATGGAGGTCACTGTGAGGACTGTGGCAGAGGGAAATATCAACATGCATGTCAGGTTGAAAATGTGAAGAATCCATCCGGCAGTTTCAGAGACTGTACCCTACAAAAGGTCACAGGAAGTGGGGTTTTTATGTTTATTTGATCAATTTGGTCTAAAGATTTTCATCCTATTAGAGAGACTGTTTTGGATTAATCGAAATCAGAGGCATAAAAAAATTACTGGTGAATTTAGAAAAGTGTGCTTACCACAGCCAGACGCCTCTCTAGGTACAAGGCTGATAAGATGAAGACGTTGGACGCTAAAACAGGAACAGATATAAAAGTTTCATTAATGAAAAGACCTTAACAGTCATTCGTAAAAATGTGTCAAATGAGCCTTTTTAGGAATTGATAAGCTAAGTCGTACTTAAATAAAACCAACTGATGACCCTTTTAGCTTGATTTCAGAACAAGAGACACAGATAACACACGTTTCTCAATCCACCTTCAGCTGTAAACGTCACTAACTATAAGACAAACGAGGGTTTGTGGTGACTGAATCACCAGTGAGCTGCATTTGGGGAGCAGAGCTGCTAAAGGCTGACGTCGTGGTCGAAAGTTTAGAAAACTGCACTAAATTATTTTTTCTTTTAAAAACCCAATGAGCCGACATGGCCAGACTGAAACCAACTTCATTCAGTGTGCATTAGTGGCGGTCTCATGCTACGCTAACCAGTTTCAGTCAAAAATGCTAATTCTTATCCATTAAATAAAGTAACAGCAGCTTGTTTTATTTTAACAGAACTGAATATAAATCACTACAGGGGCCAGATGAAGTGGTTTGTATGGATTATTTTCCCCAGACCAAAGCTTCGATGACTGCGATCAGTGAGCCCCCAGAAGGATTTATTGATGTTTTTGTTTGTTTTGCTTCTTGTTGACTGTACCCGTTTCAGTGAGAACTAAAAGACTTTAAATCAACATTTATCATGCAGATGTATGTAGAACTTATTAGTTTCATCTGCATAAATGGAAAAAAAGATCATAACATGGCATCTAGCATGGTGGTGGGGGAAATGAATGTTTTCTCAGAAATGAATTTTCTTCCGAGAAGATGACGAAGAAGAAGTCTATGAAAAAGCAGAAGAAGACAAAGTAAATCAGAATCAGAATCAGCACATTAGTACCGAAACAAGTTCCTAGTTTGTGAACTGCTTGTTCACTGACAATGGCAATACACCTTTTCTGATTCTGATTTACTTTGTCTTCTTCTGCTTTTTCATAGACTTCTTCTTCGTCATCTTCTCGGAAGAAAAAAATGACTAAAAAGATGACAAAAACAAGAAGAAAAAGATGAAGTAGTAGAAGTTTTTTTTTGATTAGCACTTATCGAAATAAAAATCTCAAACACACAATAAAGAAAAAAAAAAGGTAATTTTTTTTTAAAAGTAGAGAGAAAATGAAAGCCTGCTTTCTTCTCTTTTGGCTTCTGTCTCATCCAGACTACAAATGTTCACCTGAGACACACCTGGTGCATATTCAGGTGTAACTGCAGCAGGTGTTGATTATTTTCTGTTTCATGCCACAAAGTAAAAAATTCAATACCAATAATCAGGCAGGCTGCTGGCCAGCTGTAGGGGTCCTTCAGGAAAAGAGACACTACTTGGATAGGGTCGACCAAGATGCCGTATCTGGAGAAAGATGAGGAAAACAAACAAATCACTAAATCTAAACAAGAATCGGTGAGCTGAATAACGACTAAAGAATAAGTTTGTAAATATGAGGTGTTTTTGCAAGTGCGCACTCACTTGATAATGTTCTCCAAGAAGAGACGTGCGTTACTAAGCATCTGTAAATAAAAACAAAATCGCCCATTAAAAAACAAGGTGGAGTCAACGGAAGGAAACATTTTGTTTCAATGTTTTTCTTTACGTGGCTTTATGCCAAGTCTGAACTTTGTTAAGAAGCTAAAAATGTTTAGCTGTAAATCTGGTTTATCGGTTCCTCTTCAGGAACTCAGTCTGGGATTAGTCTGTAGAATTAGCAAGTTTTTATTGTTGCCACCTATTCTGCCATAATTCCCAGCAAAACGCCTCAACATAACCATATAACAACACAGTATGGTGGTGGTGTTTCCATGGAGATAAAAAGAGTTTTAGCTTCCTCGGTTCGTTCAACTTCAGCAGTGCCACCAACAGTCTGGGAAAACCTCACAAACAACAAGTCAAAACTTCCAGAACTCACATTGAACCGCCTCAGACAGACAGGCTGCATTCACAGACAACAGCTCCGTCACCTCAACGTTTCCCAACAAGAACAGAACCAGACTCTGACCAGAACACGTAAAACAATTCCTTAAATTACATTTGTAAACAGATCAGAACATTCCATCCATTACACTAGCTAGCCCAGCTCTGGCTTCACTTCCTGTTTAGCTGCGACTTGTGCACAGAGGGACGTTTGATTGATGGCTCATGATCCAATCATTAAGAATGGGACACGAACAATGATAGGATGAGGTTTTTCCAGGATTGCACGTTTCCCAAATGGGTTCAAATGCAGACATTTCACTTCTCACCCAAGGAGCTTTGTCAATTTTGACTGGAACATACAAGAGTCAAGCTTATAACCTGTAGCTCTGTTACTAATGAACGAGCTGAAACTACCTATGAGTACCCCTACCCCCAGAGGAGTCAATTGATCCCATTAGGCCCTATTTTGTTGGACTGTAAGATGCAGGAAGGTGTGACCTGGACTGAAACATTTTTGGAATTAGGTTCAGCGCTCCATTGCAGGTGCTGGATAGGTGAAACCTGAGGCCTCCTCTGTTTAAAGTAGGTCTTTCCTGTTTGACTTGTATAGGTTCATTTACTCCTCTCTCAAACCATCAATGTTTTCTGTCAAAAATGTGTTTAGTAAGCATGTCCTAATACATCTGTAAAGTTGTCCGCATCTTACAAATAAATGCACAGGAAGCTGAGAAAGGCCTCATTTACACGCCGAGTCAGACATGTTTCACACCTAAGCTTGGCAACACGATGACACCTCGACCGCTATCACACCCTGCTGCTGCTCCCTCTGTAAAACATTACTTTATGATCATGTTATGCACTCAAGTTCAAGGTTCAACTCCAGCTTCAGTGATTGAAAATGACTCGACTTGGAGATGAGGAGTACATTTACAGTGGGGCAAAAAGGTATTTAGTCAGCCACCGATTGTGCAAGTTCTCCCACTTAAAATGATGACAGAGGTCAGTAATTTACATCATAGGTACACTTCAACTGTGAGAGATGGAATGTGAAAAAAAATCCATGCATTCACATGGCAGGATTTTTAAAGAATTTATTTGTAAATCAGCATGGAAAATAAGTATTTGGTCACTTCAAACAAGGAAAATCTCTGGCTCTCACATACCTGTAACATATTCTTTAAGAAGCTTTTCTGTCCTCCACTCGTTACTTGTATTAATGGCACCTGTTTGAACTCATTATCTGTATAAAAGACACCTGTCCACAGCCTCAAACAGTCAGACTCCAAACTCCACTATAGCCAAGACCAAAGAGCTTTCGAAGGACACCAGGAAAAGAATTGTAGACCTGCACCAGACTGGGAAGAGTGAATCTACAATAGGCAAGCAGCTTGGTGTGAAAAAATCAACTGTGGGAGCAATTATCAGAAAATGGAAGACATACAAGACCACTGATAATCTCCCTCGATCTGGGGCTCCACGCAAGATCTCATCCCGTGGGGTCAAAATGATCACGAGAACAGTGAGCAAGAATCCCAGAACCACACGGGGGGACCTGGTGAATGACCTGCAGAGAGCTGGGACCACAGTAACAAAGGTCACCATCAGTAACACACTACAACGGCAGGGAATCAAATCCTGCAGTGCCAGACGTGTTCCGCTGCTGAAGCCAGTGCATGTCCAGGCCCGTCTGAAGTTTGCCAGAGAGCACATGGATGATACAGCAGAGGATTGGGAGAATGTCATGTGGTCAGATGAAACCAAAGTAGAACTTTTTGGTATAAACTCAACTCGTCGTGTTTGGAGGAAGAAGAATACTGAGTTGCATCCCAAGAACACCATACCTACTGTGAAGCATAGGGGTGGGAACATCATGCTTTGGGGCTGTTTTTCTGCTAAGGGGACAGGACGACTGATCCGTGTTAAGGACAGAATGAATGGGGCCATGTATCGTGAGATTCTGAGTCAAAACCTTCCATCAGTGAGAGCTTTGAAGATAAAACGTGGCTGGGTCTTCCAACATGACAATGATCCCAAACACACCGCCCGGGCAACAAAGGAGTGGCTCCGTAAGAAGCATTTGAAAGTCCTGGAGTGGCCTAGCCAGTCTCCAGACCTCAACCCCATAGAAAATCTGTAGAGGGAGTTGAAAGTCTGTGTTGCTCGGCGACAGCCCCAAAACATCACTGCTCTCGAGAAGATCTGCATGGAGGAATGGGCCAAAATACCAGCTACTGTGTGTGCAAACCTGGTAAAGACCTATAGTAATCGTTTGACCTCTGTTATTGCCAAAAAAGGTTATGTTACAAAGTATTGAGTTGAATTTTTGTTATTGACCAAATACTTATTTTCCACCCTGATTTACAAATAAATTATTTAAAAATCCTGTCATGTGAATTCATGGATTTTTTTTCACATTCTGTCTCTCACAGTTGAAGTGTACCTATGATGAAAATTACTGACCTCTGTCATCATTTTAAGTGGGAGAACTTGCACAATCGGTGGCTGACTAAATACTTTTTTGCCCCACTGTATATATTGGGTTGGTTTATTTTTAAGAGAGACATTTATTAAAGTGGGGTCAGTGGCATGATGATGTCATATTCAAGGGATTGTTTATGTCCTTTGCTTTTTCCAACACCTGCAGCATTGTGTTTTTGATTCAGATCCATTACCTTTGCCTCTGGTGACCTTTAGCACACACAAGAGGATCATCATCTCCAACAGAATAACTGGGACAGGGACCTTTACAGAGCAATTAAACAGAGGATTGCTAAATCGGTTATTTAGCAACATTTTCAGTGTGCTGGTATTTTTTTCTATTAGCCTTGTTCTTAGAAAGGTCAGCACACAAAGCTAGGCACTGAGCAACACCAGGAGGATCCCTCCTCAGGTGGGACTTGACAAACTGTTTTCTGGCAAGGATAAAACTTTTACAAATAAAGGTTTACTCTATTTTTCTCTAAGAACAATAACAGAACATTATAACCAGTGGATAAGTGATTTTGACAAAATCTGAATCTTTTTAGTCAAATTAAAAAGTTTCCAAATACATCAGTAACAAAACATTAAAGTGGGCATTTACTTGTTATTTCAACAAATCTGGGGTCTCCAGTATGAATGAATACCTTGTGAGCCATTTTCTTTTAAGAAAAAAAAAGCTCCTGTTTCGGGAAGTGAAGGTTAGCTGGAGGAGTGGGGGACGGGAAACGGCAGGAATGGTAGTCCTACTCACTAAGATTCATGTTATGCAAACATCTAGCCTCTGATTGGCTAACAGCATGGACACTTCCACTGCTAACCCTAACCCCTCACTCGTCTTGTGTTAACAATGCAAGGTTGATGTTTTATCTCCACAAATAACACAAGCCTGGAGGAGTTTTGGCATGTGGTGGAGTTGCTAATGCTAACGGTTAGTTTCTACTAGCTGAGACACGCTCTGCTCTCTCTTGGCCGCTAAATTGACAACAGCCTTCCGTGATCGGGTCATCGGTAGCAAAGATGGGCGAGTCCACGAATGCCCATTTTACAGTGACGTACATCTGTGCGGCTTTTTCTGGCCCAAGCGTTCTCATGTTTATGTTCTTTCTCTGGCTAATGCAGGAAACGGGTCAAAAACTATTTCACATTCTGCATGCATGTGATTTCAAAAATAACAAAATTCTCAGTGAACCTCCTCTTCAAACTGGATCTTCATTTCATAAATAAACTTTTTCTTATAATATACCCAATTTATATCAGATCTAAAGATTTCATGTTTCCTTTTAATCATTTAAAATGTGAATTTCATTGAGGCCAGCTAACATAAGATGCGCTGTTTCAAAGCTTTAAACTTTATTTAGCATGACCATCAACACTGATGTGGCAAAGCCAGCTTCTGTTTCTAGATAGGCCTCATGTTTCAAATTAAACTGCTCTAAACTCCTCTTATCTCTCTGAGCGCTCCTTTTCTGTGGCCGTCTCCAAGTTTAGGTCCTCCACCACCTCCCTTACCCATGGTGTCCCACAAGGTTCTGTGCTGGGGCCTCTGCTCTTCCTCCTCTATCTGCTTCCTCTTCAGCACATCCTGAGCTCCTTCAAAGGAATCTCCTACCATCTTTATGCAGATGACATCCAACTGTACATCTCCTTTAAGCCCCATGAGATGCCTAAGCTGCAGCTGTTACACACCTGCTTAGACTCTATCAAAACCTGGATGGCTGGGAGCTTTCTACAGCTGAATGAAGATAAGACTGAGATCCTCATCTGTGCCCCAGACAAGCTGGTTCCCAAAGTCAGAGACTCTCTTGGTCAGCTTGCTTCTCTCACCAAACCTTCCATCAGGAATCTTGGCGTGACCTTTGACCCAGCTCTCACCCTGGATTCTCATGTCAGTTCTCTTGTTCGCTCCTTCTTCTTCCATCTCAGGAACATTGCTAAGCTGAGTCCCATTCTTTCCCGCTCTGAACTTGAGACAGTTATCCACACCTTCATCTCCTCACGCTTAGACTACTGTAACTCTCTTTTCACGTGTCTGAGCAGAGCCTCCCTGAACCGTCTACAGGTGGTTCCGAATGCCTGTGCTCGGCTTCTGACCAAGTCCTCCAAACACACCCACCTCACCCCGCTTCTCCTCCAGCTTCACTGGCAGCCAGTCAGCTTCAGGGTTCATTTCAAGATCCTGGTTCTGGTCTATAGGGCCTTACATGGACAAGCACCATCTTACATTGGTGATCTTCTTAGTCCCTACACCCTCAGCAGGTCCCTGAGGTCCAGTGATCAAAGCCTACTGGTTGTGCAACACACCAGGCTAAAGACCAAAGGTGACAGATCATTTACTGCTGTGGCCCCCAGACTCTGGAACTCTCTCCCCCTGAGCCTGAGATCAGTGGACTCAGTGGTCTCCTTTAAAAAGCAGCTGAAGACTCACTTGTTCAAGCTGGTTTTTGTATGACCTTCTTCACCACTCTCTCTTTATTCTGCTCTCCCCACCTATTCCACCTTCCCCAGGATCCACTGATTTCCCTCTTTCCTGTTCACTCTCTCTTTCTTAACATTTTTTTAATCACAATTGCCTATTTTTGCTCATTTTAAATATATTTTTAAACATTTTCTAAATGCTTTTTTATATTTTCACATTTTTTGTTTTTGTGAAGCGCCTCGTGATTTTAATCTTGAGAGACGCTATAGAAATGATACTTTCTTCTTCTTCTTAAACTAACTGATTTGGTGCTTGTTCAGAAAGCACTTTCACGTGTTTCTTATCTACCAGAGAGAAACAGAAAAGCACACAGCAGCCTTTTCTGGTACTTATCAGGCTTTCATACTTTGAAGTTTTGCACAAAGTGCTGAAGCACATCTAATCTCTCATCTCCACAAAAACACACCCCTGCAGCTGATATTTTGGGAGTTTAGCCAATGGTCTGCATTTTCATAAAAAAAAAAACAAATCTTCAGAAACCACCGGAAAAAGGGACACGTTCAAGGGTTTGTAGTTCCACTTCACTCTCGACAACATCTAAAAGTTGAGCAGGGCCAGCTGTTGAGCGCATTTTATAACATGCAAAGAATCTGGTCGCAGAACAGGGAATTGCAGGGTGGTAATCAAATTTGTGCACAATTTTATTCATGTATGGTGTAATATTTTCCATGCAAGTGTGTGCACTTCTAGAAATATAAGATACGCATGTGCACATAAACAGACACATCACATCTGCACATGTGCAAAATGTCCTATTTATAGCGTGGGTTCATTTCAGTTACATATGGATGACAGCCAGCAGTATCACCTATCAAAACACTCACAACTCTGGAGAAAGAAAATGAAATAAACCAGAAGTATTTTTTTAAGTGACCACAGCTCATTCAGTGCCCAGCATTTGAGTTGTAATGACAGTATCCGATTATCAACAAGCCATTTTGTGACATAATGGGGAAATACAGACTGAAACTTCAGTTTTTTTTAAAGTGAAAGCACTAAATTCCCTAAATTGTACTCACCAGCATGACAACACACCAGTTAAGGATTCCTCTGTAGTTGCTGTAGCCGCTGGCTGAGCTCAAGAGAGACTCTTGCAGAACATGACAGCTGCAGAGGAGAGTATTTAGAAATTATTGATCCGTGTTTTATTCACTTTCTGGAAGTAAAAAGAACAAATTTTTTTAATATGATCAGAGAAAAGCTAAAATACATTTTAGAATAACTGCCTACACTTTATGGATGTGAAAACTCTAAACTCAATATCAGTTTACTATTTCCCTCTGATTTTTGTTATTATTTTTGTACTTGTACTGTTAAATGTATCCTGCAGAATGACACATAAATATTTTAAAACGGCATAAAACAACCAGGAATGTAGTAACTTTATAACCCAGATTGGGAAATTATGAATGAATCACGTCCAACAACCAACCGCTTGCCCCAAGAATTGTGAAAAAGTGGGTTGAAGGTTCTGAACCAACAATGAATTGTAGCAATAAAGGCTCAACTTTAACAAAACTATGACTTTTATGATTAACAAGTCATTCTTTAAACATAAAATATTTGAGATGTTTTTAAGCGAGTTTGAGGCCGTTTTGTTTCGATAAACATGTCGATTCTCATGTGTACATAAACTTTTCAATCAGGCACTACACACAACCTTTGACCTTTCTTTCAGATCAAAAAGGATTAGCTTTAAAAAAATACTATGACACCATAAATGTATTATCAAAGACAGCGTGTATGATGCATCCTGTACAAGCAATCTAAAAGCAAACAAAAATAAACAAATTGAGCTGAAACAAAGACTTCATCTACTAACTAAACTGAAACCAAAAGCAAAGGAAAGCTAAAATACAGAGCAAAAATTTACTTCAACTTCAAACTGTAGAGAATTATTAGGGGTGCGAAAAGAAAAACAGAAAATATCGGAAGTCAAAAGTCAGAGTTCTTTTTCAGTGGCCCTGATCACTTTCCGAACTTTTAGTGATGTGACGTTCACGAACGAATCGAGACTTTTGAGCAAGTTTTCGAAGTGCACGACGAGAGCCGAGTCCTTGTAGAGAACTGTTCATCTCGTCTTCCAGTAGGGCCCCTGCCTCCAGAACGCCCGCTCTCACAGACATCGGTGGAAGGCAACTCCCCCCTCCTAGCGCTGTCACGGAAAACCCCACCCCCGCCCCGCTCTCACCACTCTGCTTCTTTCAAAGGAACCCGTCTTTTGAAAGTTTCTTCAAAGGATCTGCTCGGGGTCCTTCGACTGCCGATGACGTCAAAGTACGGCAAACCCACTCGGACAAAATACTCTACACATCTATACTGCTGGAAAGAATTTAGCAGTTTCGTTATTAAAATAATGTTTCTTAAGACGTAAGTTTGTGTTTATAATAGTATTTGTAAAATAAAACACTATATTTGATTCATGTTGAACTCCTCTTTGAGCACATCCCTTGAAGAATCATAGGTATTAGCAACACCTGTGAAATTGTATTTGCAGGAAAGAAGTGTGTCCCGTTTATTGAAGTATTTTGTGTTTAGAGTTTTTGACGTCTTGTCCATGCGTAGTTCAGTTACGCTCATAGCTGCTAGCCAAAACTCTGGAGTTAAAAGTTTTCTGGCTTTACTAAAATACCTGTCTGTACTTATTTGATTGATGGTAGTTTTACTTTCTATTAGACTCCAAATGTAATCATTTGGCACGTTTCTAATTCATAATTTGTAATAATGTAATCGGTGATATTAGCATTCCTATGGGTTTTTCCATGTATATTAGCATTGCGCTAAGCACTCGCTGCCAAATTGCAGCCTTTGCAATTAGAAAATCTCATTTTGTCACATCGCAATTTAATTGCACATGCAGTTAATCGTTCAGCCCTAATATACATGCAGCTCTATGCTAAAAGTGTATTTTCAAAGAGGTAATGATGGATTTCTTTGTAAAAGTTGTCCATCTTTCCAACAGAAAAATTTGCCTGGACCAACGTAACGTGATACCAATGTAACGTGATTACGTAGCTTCCGTAAGGTTCACGTTCAGCCAATCAACTACTTTGTTATCAGCAGTCGAAGGACCCCGAGCCGATCTTGCACCGAGCAGATCCTGTACCGACACTATAAGTCCCATCTCTACAAACGCTGCACTTGAAAGCAATTGTCAACTAAAATTGTACATATGGTGACTAGAAAATACGCCGATATATCAGGCCAATATTTACCATCTTTAATATATATCGGCCAGTGCAGATTTACTTCTTCAGTAGTGCCAATTTAAAGTCAGGCACATTCGCGGGCAGCTCAGAGCTGCTGCAGAGTTGTTCTTATGCTACGTGTATATTTACATTCTGAAAAACATCTGATTTATAAGTGCTCTAAAACTCCATTGTTAACTGACATTTCTTTTAGTTTACCTGCTTTGCATTTTTAACACTTTTTTGTTAAATGTTTAAATTTGTACTAAACTAAGATTTAGGACTAGGTAAATTTTAATTTAATGTTTTAAAACGGATTCAAGTTTAGAAATGTCCACCACGGTTGATATTTGTGACATTTTGGTACGCCAATAAGGCAGAAATCGTTTAGGCATGAAAATTGGCAACAAAAAAATTGGTAGTACATATCGGCCATCTGCAATGGTATCAGCAATTGAAAAACACCACATCAGTAGATCTCTTGAAAACCTTCTGAACTAAATTACACCGAGAAGTCAGAATATTTATTTTTCTACAAAGTTTAACGAGCCCAATTGTGGGGAAAAACTTTCTGGGATTTTTATTGGAAAAAAAAAGAGCTAAAACAAATCTAAGACATAAAGGATATATATAAAAAACTTTTCTTTACCTTAAGAGTACATTATCAGGCCCACTTCCGCTCTAACCCGCTGTGGCGTCTAGTTGTTTACCTGAGTCTGGCGTTGATATCCTCCACCGCACTCTTGGGTGTCTTCGGACCAGTCCCGAGCTCCTGCTGCTGTTTTCCCGACGAGTCCTCCTCTCTGTACAGCCTCCCGTTGTGGCTCGCATGCTTTGAAGGCTCCGCTGCTGGTTTGGTTTTAGCGGGATGCTGTGGAGGTTTCTCCCCAGCGTTGTGCCGCTTGTTCCCGTTGACTTGTTTCGCGCTGACCGCTCCTCCACCGACGATGGTCGTCCTCCTCCTGCGGAATGCGGGCCCTCTCGCCTCGGCTCTCTCGCTCATTTCTGCGGCTTCAGTCACGAGACGCAGTTTCTACCTGCCCGACACTCATAGCTAATAAAGCCTTTTTTAAATTTATTATTTATTTTACCCTTTTCTGTTTCTTCCAGTCGTGATAAAAAGAGAACTACACTAACAGAAACAGCCAAACAGATCTCCTTGTGTGTATTAAAATGTCAATGCTGGTGGTAAAGAAGCGTTTTACCACCACTACAGTTCAATGTGCATCTGGCGCTTTGGTTGCCAGATCTTTGATTTGGGCAGACATCCCCCTATCGAGTCATCGGTCGACTTCCGCTTTAGGGGCGGCACCTTAAAAGGGTTTCTTGCTCAGTCCGCATGACAAATTAAGTTCTTTGAACCCACGCAAGATGAAAACTACTTCTTTAAAATGTGCAACAACATTTTAACACAAAAGCACACAAATAACTATCTCAAAGTTTGGCATGTTACCAATTTCTTTTTGGACTGCCTTGCTCCCTTTCCTTACATTTTTAATCAAATTTTTATTTCTAATTTTAAACATATTTGAAATCTTTTTTTAAAATCTTTTTTATTTTAAATTTTTGTTTTTGTGAAGTAGCCTACCTCCTGATTTTTATCATGAGAGGCGCTATATAAAAGATTGTTTCTTTCTTTCTGTATTAGATGGTTGATGTCAATTTTTGGACAGAAAAAAAATCAGACTTTTGCACTTAGTTGTGTTAGGCAGGCAGAAAAATGTTAAGTAATGATAAATTATAAGAAATAAGGATGTTTGTAGGATTTGCAAAATACCTGTAATTTACCCAAGAGAATCCGCCCTTCTTCCAAAATCAATTTCCCTCTGGGATTAATAAAGTATTTTTGAATTGAATAGAATTTAATTTACATAGAAGTACTTTGATTGATACTCAGTTTTTTGTTTGTTTGTTGTTTATAGCTATTTTTTAGTTTTTGATAAAAAATCTAACGAGTAAATGGCCTGTATATGTATGGCACCTTCTTAGGGTTCTACAACCCCCCAAGGTGCTTCACAACACAATCAGTCATTCACCCCATTCAAACACTCACTGGTGAGGATGAGCTGATATAGGCTGGGCCTGCCGAACGTTACCGCCACTGCTTTCTCTGACCACCACAAGCAGACAAGGTGGTTCAGGTGTTTTGCCCAAGCCCCCACAATGTGGCTCAAAAATTGAAGCAATCCCGGAAGTACCAAAATTGCAGTTCCACCCTCATCCGCTGGGGGCGGTTGTCAGAAGCGAGCAAATCCTCATTGACTCCCATGTTAAAAATACCAATTTCACTGCAGAAATAAACATGTTTACAGCCTGGTACCAAACATGTTTTTGGTTTAAATGATCTAGTTTACACTCATGACAACTCTGAGGGGGCTGAAATTTTTTCTCACTCTTCTGTTTAAGTGTATTAAAAGCCTAAAATTCTGTATAATTAATGAGCATCAGACCCACGTGACCACAGAGCTAGCTCCGTGGAAAGGCCTCAGTAGAGCCTCGGTCTGGCTTGGAAACTGTTCCGGGATTTTGAGTCTTCGTGTTTGATTTTTCTTTTTTGGATATTTTTTGTGCAATTGTTGGACAAAATGACTTGCTGTGGCATTAATTGCACTAATAGAGCGTCCAAGGAGTCTCCACTTCATTTTTTTCAGTAAGTAAAATTATATTTATGTATTTTAGGTCACTGCCGAGCTGAGCTTAGATTTTAACATGTACTGTTTAACCATGACATTTAAATGTAATAAGGTAAAACCCAGTGCATTTAATATAATGCTGCACTTTAGAAAATGGGTTGAAATATAACATGTTGGTGGAGCTGGGTTCCGACTATCGGCTTGTGGAGCTCTCGGGAGACTGATGTTTTTCACCCTGTTCCCCCCTCCCCGCAGCTCGGCGCATCTCTGTCTGATCGCGGCTTCGGTCTGCTGTGCGGGCTGCCGGATTGTGGAGCTCTGGGATGGAAACCTTTCCACCCGGTTCTCCCCAGCGGCAGCTCTGCGCATCTCAGATCGCAGCGGCGCTTGTCTGCTGTGCGGCTGCCGGCTTGTGGAGATGGGAGACCTGTGTTTTCCACCCGGTTTTACAGAGCAGTTGTCACGATTCGCCCCTGCCTTCCTGACTGTGTCTCTCTCCTGCCCTGATTAGTCCTTATTGTTCTCACCTGCCCCTCGTTAACCTGCCCATGAAGTTTCTAATTTTCCCTGTGTATTTATACCTCCCGTCTTGTACCAGTCTTCGTCAGATCATTGCGTGTGTTAGTTGTCAGCGTTGTGTTTGTTCCTGCCGTTCCCGTTCTGTAATTAAATTCATTTTTACTTTATCTGAGCCTGCATCTTTGCCTTCTGAGCTGCTCCACCATACTTGGTCCATCATCTCCACACCCACAATGTGACAGCGGTCAGCCCGGCGTATCTCTGACTCAGAATCTCTGGTGTTGTGCACAGTTAACTCTGGTTGTAGCTAGGTTGCTACATCCGTTAGCTTAGCTCCCACCTCCACGTTAGCTTTGGGTTAGCTTCAGGTTAGCTTAGCTAGTTCGACCGGGTGTCGTCAGTTGATCTCAGCCTTACAGCCCAACCCTCAGCTCCACCTCTCTTCCCTTTTGTGGAATTGTCTGGGCTTGACGGAACCTGTGACACGGTCAAAATGGCGGTGGTGGCCACCTCCCATTTTTCTTCAAAAACGTGTTATTGGAGTCTATGGAAACCCATTGTCCAATATTTATGTCGATGGTTTTGCCCAAAGGCACAACAGCAGCATTCCGCACCTGCAACCTTCCGATTACTGGACAACCCGCTCCATGAGCTACTGCTGCCCCCAACACAATAGAATTAGTCAGAACATGTATTGCACATGAAAGAATATGATTTGTGGAATATTTTCTAACAAATTCTGTTGTATTTAATATATTTTTTTCCAATCAAATTAACATATTAAGCATTTTGTTCTTACTCCAGTTTGTCATTATTTTTTAAATTTTAAATGTACTCTACTTCTGTTAAAAACATTTTCTTTCTGTCGCTTAAAAAAGGACATAAAAGCACTTGGTAAAACTGAGAACAAAATCGTCAATTGAACTCAAACACTACAAAAACTACAATTTGTTAGGTTGTACCATCAGCCAATAGAATGGAAGTCACGTGGTTCTATTTACCAATGGCGATGTAGCAGCGAGCGTGCTAGCTTAATTCAGTCAACGACAGCTGTGTCTGGGGTTGTTGACGTTAACATTTTCGGTGTTTTTACCGGTTTAGCAGCATTTTAAAATCGTTTCCCCCCGTACCTATGAGAGCGGACCACCGTTGTCATTCTGGACTCTGTTTTTAAGTAATATGAGAAAATTTAAGAGGAAGAAACTAAACAGAGGAGCTGTGGTGAATGAGAATGGATCTGTTACAACAGGCAAGTGAAATCCAACTAGCTAGCATCAGTGTTTAATTAAAAACTTAAACTACAAACTCAAAAGTATTTTATTCTGTTTAAACATATTTGCTGCATATATTAGTAACTGTATCAGGTAAAATAGAAACGCTGACAACTGTGGGTTGCCAAATTTTAACATAACATTCACATCCTAGACGCTGTTTTCTCTACTTTTCGTTGCAGGTGTTTGAGCAAAACACCTGTAGCTTAAAGTTCTTTGTAAAGATGTTTACGTGGCAGCCGCAGCCTGTCAGCCATTCTGGAGTGGATCATTTGAAAAGCTTGACTGTGGGCGGAAATGGTGCTTTTATTCACTGAGGCAGATCTGGCATTGTTGAAGCAAAGACACGTGGCATATTAAAAATAGCCTTTTAAAGTAATTTAGTTTCCATTTTATTTTGTAACTTGGTGAGCAAAATAACCCTGGGATGCTTTTATTATGACAGGTTATGTGAAGATATTTGTGTTTACTTTTTAGTAGCAAAAATGTTTAATAAAGTTATCTGTGGAAGTTAAGAATGCCTTAACATAATATTTAATGTGTAAAATAAATCAAAAACATATAACTCTGAATGTTTTACTCAATTTCGAAAAATCTCACATTTGCTCACTCATTTTTTCTTTCTTTATTTTTTATATCCCAGTGTTTTTTTATTTTCCATCTCCGTGCTTGTAATTTATTCATCGAACATGTCTAATCCCATTTTCCATGTTGTTTCTCTCATTCCCTGATTTCTTCCTCTTATTTACAGATGCTGACTGTGGGAGGAAGCAGAAGCTGGCTATCATACATCAGGCTTTAATCAGGTAAAAATTGGAATTTTTGAAACTTCCATTTAATGAATTTTAAACTTTAGATGACAAAGTTAGGAATTTACATTGAAACAAGTTTTCTGTCTTGTAACTGGCATCACCAACTATAAAAATAGTCACTGCTTTTTAACAATAAAATATAAATGCTTCAAATCCCTACAGTAGAAAAGCATTTAATGCAGAGAAATGGTTTAATTCCAATCAAACTTGTTTTAATTTATATATTTTCTTTATTTGGACTGTATGTAAGCTTACCGGTACATTAAAGCAACTTCAGTAAGCTTCCCATTTCTCCCTCCAACTGGTTGAAAGCTGAATTACAACTGTCGTATAAAAAAAAACCTGCCCCTGCCTACTGTAGCTAGTGCTAACAATGAGCTAACATGGGCCAAGAGATAAGCCACAAAGTAATATGATCCACACTGTTTGACAAAAATATTATTACTTATCAGTAGCAACAAAGCCAGGTCACTATCAGTCCATGATTTTTGTAGCCTCCTTTAGTGCCCTCAAACAAGCTGTTGTTCACTCTGGTTTTAGCTTTTTGCTTCGCCTCCAAAGACATTACTCTGTTCCTTTTGCTTCCAGGCTCTGCCATGATTCCAAAAATAAAGTAAATAAAATAAATTCTTCTTCTTGTGCTTTTTATTGATGGTCGGCAAACTGAAAATAAAAACTGTTAGCTATTTACTGTTCTGGTAGCTAATGTAAAAGCCAAGGCCTTAAAGCAGGAAGAGACCTCCCACTTGTGTTTCTACCCAAACCACAAAACTGTTGAATGCCATTTTTGGTCAGCAGAAGGCTGCAGAGTCCAATGTGAAGTTTCTCAATTGTATGGCTCAAGAACCACTAAAACCAGTTTAAAAACAATTGCTGAAATTGTTAAAACTGTTTAGTGTTTCTTTAAGGGAAACCGTCCCCAATTAATCAAAATAACATTAACCCTTAACCCAAATGGCTAGGGATGCAACGATACCCCTTTTTTCCAAACCGATTACCGATACTTCTACCACACAAAAAAAATTCAATGATTTGGAATACAGATTTTATTTTCTTCTCTGCTTTCAACAGGAAAACACAGAGGTAGATAAAAAGTAAAATATATGAATAAAAATCATCACAAAACTAAAATATTAGGTGAACAGAAATGACAAGTTACAGTGAAGCCATTTTCAAGCAACTGCATTGGTATCGGTTCCTAGTATCGGTTAACTTTTACCGATACAATACTGGAATCGCCCTACAAATGGCCCATCTTTTTTCCAATATTATGCAGAACAAATTTTAACTGCATTTAGATATTTAGTTACTAAGCTGTTAGTCAGAAAACACATTTTAAGAAAACTTTAGAGCTTAAAGCTTTTTAAAAGAAATCTTCAATAAAGCTAAGAGTGAAAGATGACTTTATTGCCATTTGACACCAAATCTTTGACATGTTTTTTATATCTATAGAGATCCAGTGGACATAGAAATCCTGAGGAACTCCTCAGCCAGTAAAGGAGGTCTACTCACTGATGAAATGAGGAGAAAAGTGTGGCCAAAATTACTAAACATCAATGTGTACAATCTACCACACAAACCTGGTTAGTAATACAGTCTGTGCTGCGTAAAGGAACATGTTTTTAGTGTAACCAATACTAATATAAGTTATAACAGTGCATTTTTACCGCTTTAGGTCGAGATGTGAGAGAGAACCACAAGGACTACAATCAAGTAGTTCTGGATGTCCGAAGGTCCATGAAGCGCTTCCCTAAAGGTGGTTTTATGTCTTTTATCTCTATAAATGGCAACACATTATTCCTATGTGTCACTTATTAATATAATCTGTTTTTACAGCAATACAAATATTATCAGTTTAATACTTATTGGCTGCAGTTAAAGGGGACATATTGTGCAAAACTCAACTTTTGCATCATTTTTTGCTGCTGTGTGGGCCTCTACTTCCTTATGTTTTATGTTTATGTTTATTTATTTGGCAGACGCTTTTATCCAAAGCGACTTACAATTTATAACCTATAGGGCATGTTGTGATCTTTGGGGGAAACCGGAGTACCCGGAGAAAACCCACGCATGCATGGGGAGAACACGCAACTCCACGCAGAAAGGCTGCAGCAGAGTTTCGAACCTGCAACCTTCGTGCTGCGAGGCAACAGTGCTAACAACTGTGCCACCATGCAGCCTTATAAACACAACAAACGTGAAAATAATAAACAGTCTGTTCTAGTGTTTGGTTTAATGAATTATGTGTCTAAAACAAGCTGTTTCAAAAGGCTGTTTGTGATGTCACAAACAGGGAAATTAGAATAGAAACATCTCACGTGCAAGAGAGCTGCTGCTATAATAATAATGCATTGAACTTATATAGCGCTTTTCTAGACACCCAAAGACGCTTTCACACACACTCTCACATTCACACACTGCTAGTGATGGTAAGCTACTTGTAGCCACAGCCGCCCTGGGGAGGTCTGACAGAGGCGAGGCTGCCATTTGGCGCCGTCGGCCCCTCTGACCACCACTAACACAGGCAAGTTGGGTGAAGTGTCTTGCCCAAGGACACAACAGCAGGACACCCCTGGCGGGAGCTGGAATCAAACCCATGACCCTTCGATCATGAGGCAACCCGCTCTACCACCTGAGCTACTGCTGCCCTATAGAAGCAGCAGCTCTACTTTGAGCCCCTCTTGAATATCAGAGCTTCTCGGCTAATAGCAGCTTTAGCAGGGATTGTGAGTGTGGCCAGCAACAGCTTTTTTTCTTAAAGGGACAGAGCCCTGAAACGGTTCATTCTGGAAGGTACTGAAAACGTCAAGAATAGAACTGCTGAGATCTCTTTTTGTGAGGGGGAGGGACTTAGTGCGAGGAGCTCCATAAACATGTTTCGTATCGACCATAGGGCTATTATAACTTAAGAATTAAAATTATATGTACCTTTCAAAGATACTTTAATGTTGTGGATTTCCTGTGGTAAAATCCTGAAATCTGGAGGCAACAGCGAGGAGTAGGTCATGCCTTCAGCCAATCAGAAACGCTGACACTCTGTGGACAAATACAAAACCCATGTCTCGTTGGGTTGTTGGATGTCACCTAGCAGCAGTGGCTTTAAGCCAGGGATGGCCTAAGTGTGGAACAGAGGCCATTTTTTTTTTTACCCTCTGTGATTTTATGCAGTGGATTTTGATGTGGATCAATGCTTTTGACATTTATGTGTCCATAATTTTACTAATTTGAGACCTGTTGTTGAACAGTACAAAATAAAAAATTCACAATAAAACAAATGTTAAATTTAGAAAATAAAATAAATTCACATTTTTTGGTCCACGAAGACTTTTAACTTGATGAATTTTGTCTTGGCCAGTCTTGACTTAAGCCATTTTGTTGCTGATAAAATATTATTGTTTTGTTTTTGTCACACACCTATAGTTTGACTTAGTTTTGGTGAACTATTGTAATGTGATGTGTTGTTACGGCGTAGAACAATTTAGGTTAGTTCAAAACCTGGAAGCGAAGATTAAGCTCTAAAGTAGCATGTTAAACTTAAACTAAATATTGAAAGCAAGCATTTAACAGGCCAAGCTTTTAATATCTGTCAGGTATGCCAGCTGCAGAGAGAGCAGTTCTGCAGGAGCAGCTGATTGACATCATACTGGAGGTGTTGAAGCGTAATCCTCAGCTGCACTACTATCAAGGATACCACGATGTGGCTGTCACCCTCTTGTTGGTGGTTGGGGAGCGAATGGCCATTGCTATGCTGGACACACTGTCCAATTTTCACCTCAGGTTTATACTTCTTTTTTATATTTGGGGCTGAACTAGAAATGCATTTATTAGAAAATTGAATATTTTGTTAAGAGTTTATATGTATTTTTTTCTGTAGGGATTTCATGGATCCTACCATGGACAGCACTAAGCACATTTTAAACTATCTGATGCCTATATTGCAACAGGTTGACGAGGAACTTCATGACTTTATGATCAGGTAGGAACACACCGTCAGAAAATCCCCAGACAGCTGATGTTGGCTTGAATTAGCATGCCACTAGAGGGCGCCACAACCATAACCTTTACTTTAAAGCGTCACTAATGAAGGGATGGAGTCTTTTCTGGTGTAAATAAATGATCACAAAAACGTATCAGTGTTGTTAAAAATATAATTATAATCGATTTGAAACAAAATGGTTATGCATACAACAACAATGTGTTTTGAAGAATCAGTTTTTCAAGTCATCCTTTGAAGTATTTTTATTCGTCCTTTTGGTGTCTTGCCTGTTTATTATTGATGATCTGCTGGCAGCATCCATATTTGCAAACTGCCTTACTTTTCACAGACAGATGAACAGAAAAAGCACATGATCAGGTTCTCATAGTTGGAGAAAGATGGAGGGATAAACATCAAATCACGTCAAAGTCCGGATCACTGCTCTTGGAGCACACATCCTCTCCGTCTTCCTGCTTTCTTATCTGCTACTCTTTATTCCACCTTCCTCTCCTTGGTTTCTTTGCTGTTTTTCTTTCTCTCTTTTACTTTAGGTCATATCTCCATCCTCTCTCTCTCTCACACACACACACACACACACACACACACACACACACACACACACACACACACACACACACACACACACACACACACACACACACACACACACACACACACACACCCTCTACTTCTCATGTTAATGCTCCCTCTGATTTTATTTCTTCTGTCACTACCTTCTTCCTCCACACATCTCTTGAACTCTTGAGTGTATCTATAAATATTTATTAAAAAACTTTGTCAGAAATAATCAGCAAGCAGCTGTCATGATCATAAAATATTTGGTGACAATCATATTTTCATATTTCATCAGTATACATGAAAACAAACAACATTGTAATTTTCTTTACTTGTCCATTTCATTCTATTTTTACAAGCCAGACAACATTTTAGCAGATATGCAACTCCCAAAGAGAGCGTCTTACATTTGGGGACAAAGGTGTTTAAGAAAAAAACAGTACAGCTATCTATAGCCTGAGGCAGGGGTCGGCAACCTGTTCCCATCAAAGAGCCATTATTACCAGTTTCCCACAGTAAAGAAAACACTGGGAGCCACAGTTGTAATTAAACTTTGTAGGTGGGGAAGGTCAGAAAAGGATCCGATCAATTTGTTTTTCCCTCATTTACAGTGACTGAGATATGGCTCTGGTGTTAATCAAGTTAAATTATATCTCGTTGTTACAATTTTCACAAGAAAACAGAACAGTTAAAAGCAGGGCTTGTGTTGACCGGATAGTTCCCGTATTTGACCGTTTATTTTGACGGAGAAAGAATAGAAAGAATTACCCCGAAGCATGCAGAAAAGCATGCAGAAAAACTGACATTTTATTCGTTTCGCACGTCGCAGATGTAGCTAAATCACCCAAGAAAAGATTCCCATCTGAACATCTGAGCTGGACACTGCTCAGCGCAGCTCACTGTCAGCGCGTACGTACGGTGCACAGCGAGCTGAAGATGTGGAGAGGGGCTTGGAGCGCGTCGCAGAACCAGAGCGCATGCAGGAAGATTCCTCCGACTGACGCGAGACTTGTCACTTAGAAAATGTTCCCCGATTATGAAACTTTGGCTGAATAGCGCTTGTTCCTGTCTCCAATGTGGCGACACATCCAGGAGCCGTCTGAGGAGAATCCCAGAATCTCACATCCTCGTCAGCTCATAAAGCGCATATGATTACGCACAAGCGTGACCCGTCAACCCGGTCTCACAGTAAGACCGGGTTGGAAGTGTTCAGGTTTACGCAGACAATCTTTACGTTTAGAATTGGCATGCAGATGTAAAATTAATGCAGTAAAATATAAAGCATTTTATTTAAATATCCATTCATTATTTTACAAGCACAGAGAGCCGCATCAGATGGATGGAAGAGCCGCATGCGGCTCCAGAGCTGCGGGTTGCCGACCCCCGGCCTGAGGTAACAGATGTTTTTATGGAGCATTTTTTGCTGTATTGCCTAAAATATTCTTCAGTTCACATGTTGACGTCAACCAATTAATTAAATGTTTTGTCAAAAAATGATTAATTTTAATTGCCTCTTAAATAAACAGTCCTGGGAAAGCCAAATCCAGTCACTATGAATGTCTTGTTTTCGATGACTGGATGCTGATTCATCCGTCAGATTGGCCTGTGAACATCCCTCTCCCCTCGCCACATGACCCATTGCGCATGAGTCACGCATTCTTGGCTTGGAGCAGCTGAGCAGGAAGCGAAGCCAGAGCCGGGCTAGCTAGAGTCAGAGATGGAAAGTCCCGTTCTCTTTATCAATTTCATTGAAGCAGTTGTTAAATATGTTCTGTTTAGAGTTTGCTTCTGTTCTTGTCGGAAAACGTGACAGACTTGGTGTCTTTGAACGCATCCTGCCCTCTGTCAGCTGACAGAGCTGGACCATTGGATTGTGTATTTTCAAAATGTCTATTGCTCAAAAAACATCTTTGACCCCACTTTTAAGGTTAGATGAATTCAATGGTGATGGATTTCTTGATTGATTAGCTTTAGCTGCATTGGTTGATTGTGTTTTTGTGTTTTTCTCTTCAGAGCGGAGGTTGGAACGATCTTTGCACTTTCCTGGCTCATCACATGGTATGGCCATGTCCTGTCTGAGTTCAAACACACTCTGCGACTGTACGACTTCTTCTTGGCCTCACATCCACTGATGCCCATCTACCTCGCTGCTACGGTAAGAGAGGATCTTTCCTCAGTAAATGAGTTCCTGCCAACTCGCATACACACTGATACTGTCTGTCAAGTTACCGAACTAGTTGATTAGAAGGCTCTCTGTGCAAAAGCGACAAGGGTGCAGCAGAAAGTGAAGATGGGGACAAATGGAATGATAGAAAATGGTGAGAGACAACTGACAAGAAAGAGATGTTGAGACTTTTCGTGCTTCTTTCTGAGAAAGTCTTGTATCATCTCGCTGCTAACGGTGAGCCCTTCATGTTTACCAGTGTAGGCTTGAGTGTTAGTGGAAGTAAATTAATGCATCCCTTTGTTCTTCAAGGGCCTGTTGGTGTTTGAGGAGGCCTTGTTAACTCAAGAACTTGTGTGTGCCTTTATTAGTGGGTTCAGCTGAGCAAATTTAGCTGTTGAGATAGTTTTTGTGTGTAAAGGAGGAGGGGTCTGTTTGAAGTGTGTGAAACAACAAAACAGAGTGTAGTTTGTTTTCTCCAAGGCTGAGTTCAGCACACTGCGTGGAGCTTTAATTAAACTGAACTGAAATAAATGTAATAAAAAAAAATTTCCTCCCATGAAATGGATATTATGTTGTTTGAAAACTGCATTTTTGGGGAAAAAAGGTGAAAAGTTGGATGTGTTGCAGAGAGTGTTGGTAGAAAATCTCAGAATTTTCCATGAGTGAATTGTTGTTTTTCTTGAAGTTTGTAACATGTAACTTACAATTTAGTAACGTTTCACTTTAAGTTTATAACGTGTCGTCGTCGTCTTCCTCCGCTTATCCGGGTCCGGGTCGCGGGGGCAGCATCCCAACTAGGGAGCTCCAGGCCGTCCTCTCCACGGCCACCTCCACCAGCTCCTCCGGCAGGACCCTAAGGCATTCCCGGACCAGATTGGAGATGTAACCTCTCCAACGTGTCCTGGGTCGACCTGCCGGCAGGACATGTCCGAAACACCTCCCCAGGGAGGCGTCCAGGAGGCATCCTGACCAGATGCCCAAACCACCTGTATTGGCTACTTTCGATCCGGAGGAGCAGCGGTTCTACTCCGAGTCTCTCCCGAATGTCTGAGCTCCTCACCCTATCTCTAAGGCTGAGCCCAGCCACCCTACAGAGGAAACTCATTTCGGCCGCTTGTATCCGCGATCTCGTTCTTTCGGTCATTACCCAAAGCTCATGACCATAGGTGAGGATTGGGACGTAGATCGACCGGTAAATCGAGAGCCTGGCTTTCTGGCTCAGCTCCCTCTTCACCACGACAGATCGGCTCAAAGTCCGCATTACTGCAGATGCTGAACCAATCCGCCTGTCGATCTCCCGATCCCTCCTACCCTCACTCGTGAACAAGACCCCGAGATACTTAAACTCCTCCACTTGAGGTAGGACCTCTCCCCCGACCCGGAGTTGGCAAGCCACCCTTTTCCGGTCGAGAACCATTGTCTCAGATTTGGAGGTTCTGATCCTCATCCTAGCCGCTTAACACTCGGCCACGAACTTACCCAGCAAGAGCTGAAGGTCAGAGCTGGATGAAGCTAGGAGGACCACATCATCCGCAAAAAGCAGAGACGAGATTCTCCTGCCACCAAACTCGACACACTCCACACCACGGCTGCGCCTAGAAATTCTGTCCAAAAAGGTAATGAACAGAACCGGTGACAAAGGGCAGCCCTGGTGGAGTCCAACCCTCACTGGGAACAGGTCCGACTTACTGCCGGCTATGCGGACCAAATTCACGCTCCTCTGGTAAAGGGACTGAATGGCCCTTAACAGAAAGCCACCCACCCCATACTCCTGGATCGTCCCCCACAGGGTGCCCCTGGGGACACGGTCATAAGCCTTCTCCAAATCCACAAAACACATGTGGATTGGTTGGGCAAACTCCCATGCCCCCTCCATCACCTCTGCAAGGGTATAGAGCTGGTCCACAGTTCCACGGCCAGGACGAAAATCAGATTGCTCCTCCTCAATCTCTGAGATTCAACTTTCGATCAGACCCTCTTCTCCAGTACCTGTGGGATCACATGTGTATTTGTTTAAAGGCCCAAAACATGTTAAAAGCAGTTGTTATAGAACAAACCCAAATATTTTATAAGGATGAGTAAAGAGGATGTAAGGATTCTGAAAGGGGTATTTAAAATGGCTCATCTGAATATTTGTAGTTTAAGAAACAAGGTACAAGAAGTATCTGAGATTATAAAGGACTATAATTTACAGCAGTGGTTCCCAAACTTATTTAGCTGCGCACCCCCTTCTATGTCCCGACCATGTCGATGCACCCCCCAGCCCCACATCAGGGCATGGATAGATATATATATATATATATATATATATATATATATATATATATATATATGACGTCACGCTAAACAGTCACTTGACAGACAGGGTTAAAAAATATGATCAACCTTTTTCCCCATCACTTTCATTTTTATGTTTATGTATTATGTATTTTTGAAATAGTAATTAATAAACATTCAATACCATTACAATTTCCTTTGATTTTGATAAATCAATATTTAGAGTGCCCAGGTAGCACATAAACAATGCAATTTAACAGTTTTCTTAAAGCAGGAACGTTTAACCAGAGCTCTCTCCTTCCTTCTGCTCTGTGTAAACCTGAACTGGTCACCTACTGGTGCGTAATCAAATGTCTGTAGGGGAAAAGATGGAAAAGCTATAGCTATGAGGTTCACTTTTGCCTCAGACCGACTTATTGCTGTTTGATGGTGTGGCTGAATCTGCGATCCGCTGCCACACATGAGGAGTCACTGGCTGGAGTGGACTCGATTTTAATACGTCATCCCAAAATGGAAGCTAATATGACCTTGAATGAAAAATGTTGTTATAAAACCTCTTAAAAGTTTTTTTACCACGGAAGCGGCAGCGCTCATTTCTGCCTTCAGTCTGATGGCACAGCGCAGCGTGCGCTTGTTAAATCAGTATGTGTGTGTGTGCGCGGCACAGCTCCATGAGCCGCTCCAGTCACCACGTCTCGTTATTGGCGCTATTTAAATCAATGTTGTAAAATTATTTCTGCCCAGCCCAGATGTGCTCACATGTGCACCCGTGAGCCGTGGTTCCGCTGGAACGCGTCTGACCTCTGACAGACGCACTCTGAACTTCAGATCTTCAGCGCGCTGTTAATAGCCTGACACGTTTAGAATGCTGTCCCACAGTCAGTGTGCTAATATAATAATATAATAATGCTAAAATGCTCAGATGGGAATCATTTGATTTATTTTATTACATCCACAATGTTCTGTGTGTGAGGTTTCCAATGTCAGAACACCTGCATGAGACAGGGTGTTAATTACAGTCTGCCAGAATGACTCACCACCTTCAGATTTCTCCAACATCGTTAAAATGATCAAATACGGAACATATCTTGCTATTAACAGCGTGCGCAGGTCAGAGTGCTGAAGCTCGGAGCGGCGCGCATTATTATTATGAAGCTAGGGCACACACACACACACACACCCACACACACACACACACACACACACACACACACACACACACACACACACACACACACACACACACACACACACACACACACACACACACACACACACACACACACACACACACACACACACACACACACACACACACACACACACACACACACACACACACACACACACACACACACACAAGCAAAATATACTTGTTTTCAATTACATTTATTGGGCCCACTTACTTTTTCTTTGGCCCACCCACAAATGAGTTTCTGGCTACGCTAATGGTGACATATGACAGACTTCTCTGAGCTCCACAGCCATTACACCTTTCACCTCGCGCACCCCCTAGCGGCAGCTCGCGCACCACACCTGGGTAATCCCTGATTTACAGGTATTAGAGAAACACATCTGGATGTTTCAATAAACGGTACTGTATTAAACGTCGAGGGATATAACATTTATCGATAAGATAGGAATTTATATGGTGGAGGAGTAGCGTGTTATGTTCAAAGTGAAATACCAGTAAAGATTCGTAGTGATCTGAATGTACTAGGAGTGGAAGTGATCTGGTTAGAGCTGCAGTTGCCACATTTGAAAACTGTTCTTGTAGGTGGTTGTTATAGACAACCAAATGCATCTGTAATGTATTTAGACTAAATATGTGAAATGTTGGACAGAGTATGTGAAAGAGTATATGATATTTACTACTTAGGAGATTTCAACATTGATTGGAATTCTACAACTTGTGCTTTAAGGAATAAATTGTACTCAGCGGCTCTTACGTGCAATTTGACACAGATGGTCTCACAACATACAAGAGTAAATGTAAAAGCTGATGGTTCTCAATCTGCAACTCTAATTGATTTATTATTTACAAATATGAGTCAGGTGTGTTCGAACGCAGTTTCGATCCCGGTAGGCTGCAGTGATCATAATTTAATTGTAATTAGAAGGATAACAAAAGTACCTAAATCAGGCCAAAGATTTATAGTGAAGAGGACCTTTAGAAAATTTTAAGAAAATGACTTTTTAGAGGATGTGAAAAATGTGGATTGGAAAAGAGTAAATCAGGAGCGTGACCCAAATAGTGTTGTGGAGGTTTTCAACGAGTTAATAGGAAAGCTTTTAGATAAACATGCTCCTATAAGGAAGCTAGCTGTAAGAAGTAACTCGACCCCCTGGCTAGGCCAAGTGTTGAAGGAGTTTATGACTCAAAGAAACACAATTAAAGAGAATGCAATTAAATATGATGATGTGGCGTTATGGAATAAATATCGCAAATTGAGAAGTTATGTCACCAAACTAAATAAAAGTAAGAAGATAATCTATTATCAAAATAAAATTAAAGAGGCAAAAATGGATAATGTATGTATATGGGGCACATTAACTATTGGGAAAGAAGGTTACAACAATTCCACTTTTTTTGGAACTCTATGGGGTCTTTATTACAAAACCAAAACATATCGCCACACATTTAAGCAAATTCTTTAAGGACCAAATTCAAACCTGGAAATCTTCCATGAATCAAAAACAAGATAATGACATTTCATGTAGAATGATTAAAAAGATGATGGGGAGTAAAGGATGTACATTTAAATTTGAAAAAATTACTGATCAGACTGTTGAGAAGATTTTGCTAACTAGTAAAGATACACAATCAGGCATTGATAATATTGAGGTAAGGCTCTTGAAGTTAGCAGCAGACTTTGTTTCCCCGCTCTCATATATAATTAATTTAAGTTTGGAGTAAAGTGTATTTCCTTCACAATGGAAAAAGGCAAAAATTATTCCGCTGATTAAAAATAATAAAGAGCCATTTTCAGGTCAAAATAGTAGACCAATCAGTCTATTACCTGCCTTGAGTAAAATCATGGAGAGGGTAGTTTATGAACAAATTCAGAGTTATTTCTTGGTGAATGGGTTAAATACAATATATCAACATGCATATAAAAGAGAGCACTCTACCACCACACCATTAACTCAGATAACAGATGATTGGTTGCAAGAAATTGGCAATAAAAACCTAGTTGGAAATGTGCTGCTTGATTTAAGGGAAGCTTTTGATGTTTTAGTCGACACTGCACAGTAGCCGTTCGTAGCGCTTACGATATTTGATGTTTGTGTTTGCGCTTTAAGCTTTTCCTTGAGTTTCTGATTCTCAATTTATATGTTCTTGTACTGTCTTCTTATAGTCCTTCCTTCTTGTATTCTCTGTCTGAAATTACATGAAGACATTTTAAAATTGTTTTCTTACATTGCAGCTGTCACTTTTAGCATTAGAAATGAATCATCACCACTGACATATGCATTTTAATCTAACATTTTAATTCAACTAGTAATTTTTCATGAGACATATCCATTTCAGATACTTTCTACATAGCCTACCTACATAGATCTGTTTGAGGTACATAACCTTCTAACCTTCCTGGTTGTGGAACTGGTTGCTCCTCACTGTCAGGACTCAGGGCTGGGGCAACTATTGCAGAAGCCTGCTTCTTTTCTGTGTCTGCTCTGCTCCTGGGCTCTTCTCCAGACCTTTCTCTTTGCACGTTTTTCTCTCTCACTCTGTTCAGATATGGGCTTATAGTATGCACCTTTCTCCCTCATTTCACTCCATTTCTGCCAGCCTTTTGCAGGATCGGCATCTCGCCGTGCACGGTAACGGTTCTGCTTTTCTGCAGCAGATAATCGTGACATTTTCCTGAAAAACAAGTTCAAGTTTATAATATTTATTGCAAAGTACTTTATAGTTAATGTACAGTTAGAATATTAAATGAACTTCTGAAAACTACAAGAACATGTCATGAATGTCAACTATGTTACTCTTGGTCAACTAATTCGCCTTTGCAGGGTAACATAGTTGACATTTTTGTTGTTTTCAGGGTTAAAATAAAAATGGCTGCCTAGCACTAGACACCACATGGCATTTTACAGAGAGATTCTTCTAAATATTATATGTACAACTGAGTAAAATTGAAATTTTAAATTATTTAACTAGTCATTGTAGTAACGTTGTTGACATATGATAAGTACACACTTGCCCCAAGCACTACTTCAGGTGAAATAACTGAAGAAGTGGAGAGAGAACATACCTTGGAGTCTTTCCAGTTGTCTCTTCAGGGGAAATTACATCATGTGGAGCAGGTCATGTGATTTGGAATAAACACTCTTCCTTGAGGCTATGGGTAACTTGGATGACAGTGACTTCTCAGACACAAATTCAATTTGTTAATTTCTATTTAAAATGTGACATATTGCCCAAAAAACATATATGTCATAATTACCTCAACTTAATGTAAAGAATACAATTAAAACTGTTTTTGAATAAGTATTTTAAATTATTGTTTAGCAAATGAGATGGTGATTGCAGTTCATTTCGGACATTTTAGGGATATCTAGTCATTTTTTATAAATAAATTATTATTTCCATAAGAAGTAACTATGGCATTTGTAAAGATAAGATCATGACGAACGTAGAGGACTATTAAAATTTTATTTTAATAAACATGTTTGCAAGATAAATCTGATGGACATGAAAACTCCTGCAACTGTATATTAACCCGTAATGATATCACAAGTAAGATAGGAAATGGCTCAAATTTACAACATTTTATTTTTCTTCTTCTGCTCTATATCTGTTACAGCTCATTGTCTCTGGATTTAGCAGCTTATTTTAGGCAACACTTGAGCTTTACGGAGCTGTTAGCAAATCCCACATGTAAACATCTGTCAAAGCTGTGCATCATAAAACATTTAAAGTACAATACATCATTTAAACAAAAGGAATCACAAAAATAAAAGAACATTAGAAAAGGCCAAAATATGCAATTTGGGTAGCATCATCATCCAACAGGATTACTGTCTTTTAAATCGTAACTGTCCTGCTAATGTACAGTAAATGAAATACATTTCTTACAAATCTCAAACTTTTATCAGTCCTCTTTTCTGTTTCAGATTGTGTTGCACAGAGCGAAGGAGGTAAAGCAAACCGAGTGTGACATGGCCATGGTGCACCACCTCCTTTCCCACATTCCCCAGGATCTCCCTTACGAAGTTCTGATTAGTCAGGCCCAGGCGCTGTTCAGCCAATACCCTCCACCACTGCTGGCCAAGCAGGCAGCACTGCAGTCTCGCAAAAGGTAAACAAACAACAGAAAACATTAAAAATAATTAATTGTAGTGAAATAAATTGCCTTTTGGATTGTATTTTAAAAAAATGTTTGACATTTCATTGAATTATCTGTTTTCTTGTTTCAAGAATTTGGAATATGCACAAACACAAGCTGCTGTTTGTTTTTCGGAGAGCGTGTTATAGTGCCCATTTTGAAAAGGCCCCCAATAGCAGCATCACACTGCAGCTTTTTAGTTGTTGCCAGTTATGGTTTTACCACTCAATATGACCTTGATTCTCAAAGATTTCAGTGCATACAATCATCATCATCATCATCATCATCAACCTTTATTTATAATGCACAATTAAACGGCGACAACGTCAACCAAAGTGCTGTACAAGACAATATATCACCAAACTTGATACAGCAACATAAAATAGATAAAACAAATAAAAACTATAATAACAAAAAAAAAAAAAAAAAAAAAAAACAGGAAAGCACAAGGGTTAAACATTCTCAGCCGGGAAGGCCAGGGAATAGAAATATGTCTTCAAACGTACTTTAAAAGTGGGAAGGGAGGGGGCAAGTCGGACCGTCAGGGGGAGTTGGTCCCAAAGTTTAGGTCCACAAACTGAGAAAGCCCGTTCGCCACGGGCCATATAGCGGGCGGGAGGGACAAGCAGAAGGTGCCGGTCAGAGGACCTCAGGGTTCGCGCCGGAACATAGGGACTCAAAAGATGTGCCCAATAAGAGGGGACCATTTCATGAATAAGCCAACAGGAGAATTTTGAACTTAATACTAAACCGAACTGGAAGCCAGTGTAAATTTTCCAAAACCGGGGCGATATGCTGCCGTCGGTCTATGCCCGTAAGAAACCTTGCGGCAGCATTCTGTACCAATAGAGGCGTACCACTGAAGAGGAGGGAATACCATATAAAAGAGAGTTGGCATAGTCCAAACGTGACATTACAAAAGCATGAACAACTGACTGAAGATCTTTTTTGTTCAGGACAGATTTTAGTTTGACCAACCGGCGAAGATGAAAGAAACACGACCTGACTGCCTGATTTATCTGTGCATCCATTTTTAAAAGAGTCCAGAGTGACCCTCAAATTTGTAATTGTTTGCTTCACCAAAACTGACAATGAAGGGGGCAGAGATGGCTCCACAGCGGAGGGGGAGCAGGGGGGCAAAGAAAATAGCCTCCAGTTTGGAGCTGTTAAGATAGAGAAAATTAGCCGAGAGCCAGGACCTGCCTTCACTCAGGCAGTCAGTCAGTGGTTGCACAGGGTCAGCAGATTTTAGGGCCACATAAAGCTGACAATCGGTAAGCTAGTAGGCTGCAGGGTGAAATTCACCCATAGAAAAGTCAAAAAGGTGTTTAAATATTTAATTTTGTACAAGAGAAGTTTTGGGAAACCAGAAATGGTTTATTTTAGTTTACACATTTATTAAAAAAAAACAGAACAAAACAAATAATTAACTCTGAAGAGGAGTGATGTTGTTCCCTCAGTAACCAAAAGGGGGCTCTCTAAAGTTTCCTTCTGACTCCAGAGGTTGTGCTGATACACACAGGTCATCTGGTGTTGAGGTACCCTTTGTGTTATCACGGGGAAACACTCCCTCTGTGTCTCTGTCTCTTTTTGCTTGTCAGCGTCCTTCTCTGTCTCTTAGTCATCGTTTCTGGCAGGAAGTGACACAAGTCCTTGACTGACTCGCTGAAAGATACTAATGTCCCAAACATGCATTAGCCTTCTATAACCAAGAACAGCCGAGTTAGCAGTTCTCTCTAACTGCCTCCCGTTCTCTGCCTCACTTGTCTTTATCTATCACTTTATCCGTCAGCCCATCTTGTGTCACTCCAAATGTTCATGCATTACTGTAAACCTGACTCTGTTCATCATTTCTGGCTAACTCTCCCTTTCTATCCACCTCTTCTTCTGATTTCATGCCTCAGCTTGTCTATAAGCACCTTCCAGGCATTTCAGCTCTCCACCCTCCACCAGAGGCCAGACGTTGTTCTCCAACGCCTCACCAGGGCTCAGGACTCCACCACCTCCAGACACGGTAAAAACAGTTACTGCACTCTGAAGGTTTACCCCACGTTTTTAGATAAATGCTGTCAAAGTGAGCTCCAGATCTAAAATATCACCTGTGAAATTACCCAGCTAAATTCCTTTTCATTAAGTAGTGTTGGGAGGTCCCATCCAGGTCGTATAACTCTTCAAAACGAGACAAGAGTAAACTGTCCATCTTGCTGTCTCTGTTGGGCAGTCAATAACAAGTAAACAAATGTTGTAGCACCCCCTTCAGACCAATCAAGTGAAATTTAAATCCACCTGAACAGAACAGCAGCATCTGAGTTATGGTCATTGGTTTGCATTCAGTCTTCAGACGTAATAAAACTAATAAAGTTTTATCTAAACTAAGAGCAAGATATTAGACACAACACAAAACAAACATACCTCCTGCTTCTATTGTGGTAAATTATAAGATTGATGACTTTTATGAAAGGAATTCTACATTTAAATACCATTTGGATCTGTTTTTATTTTTGCATCAAACAACTGCTAAATTGTTAATAATTAATTGATGTTTAAAGTTCAAAGTCACCCTGGAATCTATAAAAAGATTGTAATGCAGACAAGATAACATTTTTTGTATAAATGGTCTTAAAATGAACTAAAACAAAAAACAAGAATCCCTCGACAACTAGCAGCCTTAACAGTTTGCACAATTACATGCAAATGAGCACACATTCATATTAATATTTGCATACAATTTATGCTAAGTTGTTCTAAAGACTAAAGCTAGCTGAGTATCATTACAATTTTTTGGGCAGAATTAAATTTTTTTTATTATATTTAACGCATGTTTTTAATTATTTATTTTGATACATTTTACGGTGCAAAAATATCTGAAAAAATCTGGGTGAACCGCACCAAACAGACCCTAAAGCTAATGGAACTTTTAGTCCCCACAAGACAAAACTAACAAACAATAAAAATTGAGAATTTTCCCAAAAATATTTTACTTGATGCTAAAACGTCATTACTGCTGAGGGAAATTGTTTAAATGAAATGAACCAAAGCTGAATATTTTAGAAATACTCACACAGCTGCTAAAATTGTCAACGCCACCCTTCAGAAAACCTCCCTATATGAATATGTATGTATGTATGCATTTATTTATATATATACATACATATATTAAGACCGGGAAAATTAGTGCGTTAGTTATTAGCGTTAATTTTGTTATTTTTAACATGTTCAAAGTTAATGACGCAATTAATTTGACCATCTCTCCAACCCGGAGCCACCATTCCCCCAAATTTCTCCATATTTCTGCCTGGACAATATTGCTAAATCATCATTTACTGAGCCTGAAAAATGATCAAGTTTCTACCCACATTATGGACTCTCAGCATTCAGGATTCTTTTGAGCGGAGAAGATGAACAGAGGCCGGCATCTGCGTCTTGCGCACGGCTATGGTAACATCCTCAAAGCGGCGCCACCAAAATATATTTAACACGCGATCGTTCATAACTGCTTTGGTACTTTCTGTCTTTTGTTCATGCCTGACGCGCATCGCTGCCGCGCTCATCCCCCGTGCTCCACGGCCGCGGCCAGGCAGCGTTTTTCTGGAGAGCTTGATCCTGCATCTCCCTGTGACAGATGCAGGATCAGAGACAGACAGGACAGGATAATAGTCAAATAATAAGTAAACAAAACAAAGAGCTTGGAAAGGAAAATGTAGGTAGATTTTCCCACTATGTTTTAACGTTGTAAAACAGATATTATTTATAAGCTCATAATATTCATATATTCCGTACAATTTGGATCACCTTCAAAACTCCGTCCCACCCACAATTTGCGGGCCATGACAGCGAGGTGTCCCTTATTTATTTTTTGGGGAGTTGGCAATCCTAGTTCAACTGATGCTGTGGAAAATGACATTTACAGTGAATAACATAAGCTAACTGTGCTAGATTTATTTCCTGTTCATTGTTTACACAATAGACTTTTCAAACAATGTTTTTGAAGAGAAACTGGATTTGATTTTAGGTTTTCACTGTTTAAGACAGTTTTCAGTGATTTTACACACGTCAACAAGTTATGCACTTTCTAAATAAAATGAACCTCTCTTGTATATTTTTGCATGTTTATTGCTTGCTTTTTCTGGAAAGAAATTATAATGAATTGTGATGAATTATTTTCAGAATTGTGAATAATTTTTTATTATAAAAATAACATAAATGTCCTTCTCTATTTGTGATTTGTTTCTTTCTTGTCTCTCCCCCTGGTGTTTTGACAACTTAAAATCCTCGTTTTGTTTGCGAACCTCTTCCTGAATCCTGTTTTAGTCTTTTGACCTCTGTTGTTTTTACATACCCATTTCCACTACAGAAACTTGAGGGTAAATTTAACAGACCTTTGCAGGGTGCATGTGATCTTCGTTTCACTGGGCTGTACCCCGAAAAGACCACTTCCCAGGCCATTTCAGTGACCAGCTGAGTACCTGAGCTTGGGTATGTACAGGTGAAAGTAAAAAATGACAATATCGTTAATGTGATATCTCATTAGTTTCACCTTTTACGTCGAATTACTGAAATAAATGGACTTTTGCACGATATTGTAATTTTTTCGAGTTCCACCTGTACTCTGAAATGGCCCGGTAGAGAACCTGTGTTCAACTCATGTGATCGGTTGTACGTCAGTCGGAAATTATATCGACAGATGTCCCAAAACTACTGAAATGTGTAAAATTGTACAAGTTGCTGGTGAAGTGGAATGGAAGGAAAAGGTAATACGTAAACTCTCAGCACCAAAACGCAATGGACCCCCCCCCCCCCCCCCCCCCCCCCCCGCTGTAATTGATGACGCCATAAAAACACGTTTCTTTTGATGGTTGATGATTGTTTTTCTCCTCGTCACCTGAATGGATTAAATTAGGTTTAATTTGACAGAATGAAACTTGTTTAATTTTATAAACGTTTGTGGACGCCTTTTGGCGCTGCTCAGTGACGTCGCAATATGCTGATGCCTTCGTTAAGTCCTGAAAGAACCTTTATTTTGTCTTTTTTATGGAGACACAATGGCCGAGGGGACCAATCTATCATATTTTCCCTGTCACTTTCCTTGCTGTCTGATCCCTCATTTCCTGGTTTTGTACGTGTAATCTTCTGACACACAGGCCTGGAAGCAGCCTTGTCCAGAGACCGAAGCCAGCTGTGGCAGAGGGGGAACAGGATGGTGAAGATGGCCGTGTGGGGGCTGTCTGCTACACTCGGGGCGGCTGTATTTGCTGTAGCTCAGACTGCCATGGACTGGGGCCCCGATGTGTTCCTTCAACTCTTCTGAAGGACACAACGTGGACAGTCTCTGGCTGAAAGAGCCTCTGCTCTGCAGGGATGTTGGTGAAAAGAAACGGGATGGTTTGTGTGCCGAATGAAAAGTCTACTAAATAATGTTGGGACATTTTTAGCATGATTCTGAGCGAGTATGAAAATCTATCCGTGAAAAGTTCCCTGTAACGAACAGAATGAGATGTAAAACAAAACATGAGAGAACTTTATCAGGAAAAAGTGAAAAAATACCACAAAGAAATCCAAAATTGAATTGGAAATCTGGCTCATGTGCTGGACAGGTCATCTCCATGAGGCTCTTTAACTTGGAAACCATGTTCGACTCTGACGCTTCCTGATCTTTCATTCCCCGTTCCCGTGCTCCTTCAGCGTTCCCATAGTTGCACGAGTCTTTTCACATCAGCTGATTATTTTGCTGAAAACCTGTTTTCAGATCGTCACACTTGTTTTGTGCATTTCAGCTGACAGTCTCAGTGTGCTTGTTGGATCAGCAGCCATATCTAAAAGCCAAAAGTGCCCACAGCCAGCACGATGACACATGAATACAAATTATTAAATAGTGGCGGTTTCTGCTGAAAGCTTCTAGTTATGAGCGAAGGAGAGAAAAAGGCGAGGGGAGCAAAGGAAGGGGAGTTTTTTTTTGCCTGGGAGCCTCGTATTAATTGCTTTACTCCAGGTGTCAGCGAATTTGGTTTACACCGGAGCTCGACACATACAACAAGCTGTTATTTTCCCCCAAAACGTGATCATTTGGCGCCCAGTTCGAGCTGTTTGTGCAGATGTGTCCCATGTGAGGTGCTGAAATGTTTTGTGGAATTTTTTATGTATTTTCTGCTGCCGTATTTTTTTTTTTTACCTTTTAGCTCCACTGCTGATTGAGTGCGGGGAAGACACGGGTAGTTGTACGTTCGTGAAATATTTAGTATTTTTGATCCAATATCTACTCCGAACCACCCGCCAACAGAGCTACTGTGCAGCAAATCCTCAGCATTGTGTTTCGTTTCAGCTTTTTTACAATTAAAAATCATTTTAACAAGCATTTCGTTTTCCGGAAGGTTTATTTTAGTATTTCATAGGTATTATTGGGGCAAAAAGAGCAAGAAAACTTGCCCCAAAATGAGTCGGACTTTCTCTAGTTGGACCAATTCTAATCCTGAGTGTTTCCGTCTGAGGGTCACCCAGCTGCAGATGGTGGAGCGTGTTCTGTCGTACACGGTCTGTACGTAGCCCTGTTCTCTAAATTATTTATCATCTTTTGCTAGCATGTAGCTAAGCTGCAGCTGCTGTAAACACAACTTCACTGGTTACGACCCCTCCCCCTCCCCGTGCGCTGTCATCAGATATAAATGCGTTTGCACGGTTCGATGACTTCTGTTCAGCACATGAAATCCACTTTAGGTGGTTTAAAAAATATTTCCAGCCTCAAACATTTAAGCATTTGGAACAAAAAGTTTGGATAAGACGTTTGATGATGAGCCAACTGGAGTCTGCTGGCCAGAAACACTATAAATGTTTTTATTGGATAGTTGAATTTGTGTGTCAGCTTAATTGATGAGCAACTTCTTTATTATTATTAATAATAATAATATCTTGTCATTTTGCTCTTATAGACATCATTCTTTGTTTTTGTTTTATTTGATGTATTCGTGACCTAAATGGTTTTATTTTAGAAGAAACAGACTGGATATTTATTTCAATATTCCCTTGAATATGGATTGAATTTGTCTTCAGTTAATAGGTTATGTTTTGCACATATTAAGATGCTTGCTAATATAATTATCAGCATAAAAACTGAAGAAAAAAATACTGGCTATGAGCACTATCTCTTGTTGATTTATAATGTGTGGTTTTGTTTAGAAGATGTAGAATAAAATATGTTTTAAAATGTAAGTTTGAATCCTGTTTTTAATAAGCCCAATCTCATTCCACAATAATTAAAACCAAATAAAAACATAGAATGTTTAATGATACTATATTTATTGCATTAGAATGGGGAGTCAGCTGTAATAGATTGAACGATTTTGGTAAATATCAAATACAAACACTATCTGGTCAGTTGGGAGTCAGATTGGTAATGTATCATTTCATCATTGTATCTCATTTCGATAATTTTATGCAATTTTTTTATCGTATCTTTTATCTTTGGTCAGCAGTCGTGCTGTTTTAAAAATGTGCAATAGAAATAAACTTGGTATGGTATGATATCGAAGGAAGAATTTTAGGATATATTACAAGAAAAGAGGACGTTTGTCATATAAATGAACAACTATTAAAGCTGTGGTTCACAGAATTTTTTTTAATTATTTCTGATTCTAATCTGTCCCTCTGAGTTTTTCATGCAAGCTGAACATGAAAATAGTCTCCTACACCTATCTCCTGCATTAGCTTCTGATAGAAAATAGACAGTGAAACTCGAGGATTAGAAAATCCTGACAGATCTACATCACATTGTCACTTAACATTCATGGAGTCACCCATCTTGACTTATAACGGGGAAGGTTGTTGTTGGTTTAGCATCCAGGAAACCGCAGAGAACATCTCGACTAGTAGAAGCTAACCGTTAGCATTAGCGACTCCACCACACAGCAGAACTCCTACAGGCTTGTGTTATTTGTGGAGATAAAATGTCAACGTTGCAAAGTAAAAAGAGTCAGTGGTAGAGTTGCATTGCTGTTAGCCAATCAGGGGTGAGATGTCCAAATATCAGGAAATACAACTCCAAAGCCTGCTGTTTGAAGCTATGCTCTGATGTGGCTCACTTCTAGTTCCTGAAACAGTCACACTGGAGCTTTTTTCCCAGAGTACAACTTCCAAGTCATTTGTTTCTACCAGAGACCACTGTGAATGTGTTGACTGCAAATGTATTGATTAAATGAGTGAACGACACCTTTAAATCAAGTAGAAAAATTAGAAATCAAACAGAAAAAAAATTATTTTCTGAGGTTTTGAATGTGTTACAACATCATAAACACTCATCCTGCCAGACATTTCTCTTGGGATAAACTGGTAAAAATTAGGTTAACTTAAAGTATTCTTAATTTGAAGTATTTTAATGTGTCAAGCAGTACTTTAGATGGATGCTGATGTTAATTCAACTCTTCTAAATGTTTAAGATCATTTTTATGCTTGCAGGCTTTAGAGAACAATCATGGGTTAACTTATTCTCTCTGAATTTTGAGGGAAAACAATGATATATATATTAACTTTTTTTTAATAAGTTTTGGATGTCTGAAATGAAAATGCTGAAGCTGTCTTGTGCCACACCATTAAATGAGAGAGTGGTGGTGGTGCTGCCAGCTTCTAATGAGGATTTAATTCCTGCCCCTGGCTCTTGGCGTCGGAGACACACTCACTTTACAAACTTTTTTCTTTAAACACACACTGAACTCCAGCAACACCTACTCCAGCACCTGCAGTGAGACAAATAATTGTTTAGCACCACCCGTTTGCTTACATTAAACAGTTTTTGCTGTTTCTGAGCCTAAAACTGAACCCAGACTTTTAGATCTCTAGCAACTGGTAGGGCTCTCTCATTCACACAAAGTCCTGATCAAACACTGTTCTCTGATCTTTTTTTAGTAGAACAACTTTTCCTTGTTGAGGAAACACTAAAACCGCCTCCGGCTGAACTCACTGAACCTTTTATTCCGTTTTAAAAATTCAGTCTTTCAGACATACAGAGGGTTAAAAGGGAGAGATTCAAAGTGCAAATGGTGCTGAAGAGACTACTAAACTTGGGCTGGTACGCACAGATTAACGTCAGAGTCATGCTTCTGCGTCAGTGCGGAGACACGCAACGCCATTGTCCGTCCTCACGTAGGCTCCCCGGCAGGCACGCAAGTACGTACGGAGTCGAGCCCACTTTTCTTAACATCCGTCAAATGGGACGGAGAACGCAGGCTTGCGATTGGTCGGTCCAGAAACCTGAGATCACTTCCGTCATGACCCCATTTCTTTTAAATTTGTCAACAGTGCCAGAGTCGTGTGGGAAGTTGTGTGAAGAAGTAAGCAGATATGGACCAGTTCGAGGAACGTCTACCAGAAGAAGTGCGAATATATCTAGATTTAGATCGTCTAGATCACACAGTTCCAACTTGATCAAACTTCTCTTTCTTGTGTTGCTTACCATTTTTCAAACCGCGGAAGTGATTTCCAAGGAAATAGTAAGACGTCACTGTACTGCTACCTACGCTACGCCCTCTGTTGTCCTGCTGGAGAATTGCTTTGCAACACCCCTTCAAAAAACGGGGAACCCGTGCGTGTCTGTCCCTTGTGGAGCTGACGCAGAAGCATGACTCAGGCTTAAGTCATCATTTAGTTTTAGTTCAGAGCGGCTCGTTTTGGGTTTTGTGTGTGTGTTGAAAATTTTTAAGCAAAAATTCTCAAAAACACTAAAAAGATTTTGAAGGTCTTGTTCACTGAAAAACCACATCATACTTTATTTCTCAAATGATGATCTGTGTTTAAAAGTATGATTTCAATCTCTTTTTTGGCAAACAGGAAGTGTGGGTGGAGTAACTCTGGGACTGGAGTGACTTGATCTTTAAAGAGGGCATATTATGCTAAACTAATCTTTGGCATCCTTTTGTGCTGCCGTGTGGCTCTCTGCTGCCTCTAAACATGAAAAGAAAAACCTCCATCTGTTTTGTCTGTATTTGATTTAAGGAACTATGTGCTTAAAATGAGCTGTGTCAAAAAGCCCCAGTTTGTGATGTCACAAACAGGGACTTTTGCATTGAACCCCCTTTCACATCTTCAGCCTAAAGGAGCAGCGGCTCTACTCCAAGACCCTTCTAGACAGCTGAGCTTTTAAGTTTGTAGTAGCCAGAGTGGGGGAGGGGTGGGCATGGGCGTTGCCAGCTCCAGGTGGTTTTCTGAAAGTGACAGAGCCCTGAAACTAGTGATGCACTGATATGAAATGTTTGGGTCGATATCGATATCAACATCACTATTATGGCCGATAACCGATATTTGCCGATACAGATATACTGACATTAATGATTATAAATCAGCAATTTTGTATAACATGGAAATTATTAAAGCTGAATTTACATTATTATGTACACACACCACACACATTTACGCTTCTGAGATTATTACAATCACTGTTCATATAACTAAACAATGACACATTACCCCCCTCACTCTCTGAAACAGGCAAGCAAATGAAGACAAGATGGGAAAAAAATCAGTTGTTAATATCGGCCCAGTTTTTTTATCGGACCGAGACCGATACCGATATGTTAAAAAATGACTAACATCCGCCGATATTGATGCCGATATATTGTCCATCCCTACCTGACATGGCTCATTCTGGAAGGTACTAAAAGTGCCAAGAATACAACTGCTCAGATTGTTTTATGTGAGATTGATTCTATGTGAAGAACTTCATAAAGATGTTTTGCATACATCATAGAACTATTTCATCATATGAAAAAAAGTCATATGTCCCCTTTAAAGTATGACTAGGCCTTTAATTTAACAGTTCCTTAGAATTCAGCTGCCTTCCTTTGATGCGTCTCTTCTTTTAAAAAAAAAACATTTCTTTCAGTACAGTTGTCCAGTTTTACAGCTTGTGTCAAATTGGCCTCTTTGGAGAAATTAGTCCAGCAACATGTTTTTGAAGCTGCACGTCTGTCCATCTGACCCTCGGGGAGACAATCAAAGCTGGAGAACAGGGAGCAAAGCAGAGACATGAGCTGAGAAAGACAGGTTAAAGAGGAGTTAAGGGACTGAGGAAAAAAAGGGAAAAGACATCTGGTGAAAGGGTTGGAGGTTACAGCGAAGAAGCTGAGAACATGTATTTAAAATGCAGCCCTATGAGGATTTCTAATGAGCTAAAGGGGAGATGAGTGTTGGTTTGATCAGAGCTGGGAGCAGATGTGAATAGGAAGGATTTACATTTATGCACAAAGTTGTCTTAAAGGTAAAACGGGCTGAGATAAGTAAACCGTAAATGGCATGAGAGATCGGATTGGGACATCAGCTGATCGGCCTTTGATGGAGCTGCACAGACCATAGATCAAATATGTATCAAACAATCATATCATGTTTTCATGTTTCAGGAATTCTCCATGCAAAGACACAAAAATCACTGCTCTTCGTTTCCTGCCCTTGACCCCCACCACAATCCAATGCTTCACTCTGTCATGGATCAGAGAACAAGAGTGTCCCGACATGCTTTACAAGCAACACACGTGCAACATGTCACACACAACATGGCAAAGGGACTTCACATCTCCAGCTTCGTACCTTCGTGTTTCAGAATGCATTCATTTATTTTTCTGTCCTTAAATCTGCTGAAATTGGATTTTCTAGAGGGAGCTCAGAAAAAATATTCTATTTTACTATTATTTGTTTGTAGACTGACTTGTTTTTGATCATTTTTGTCTCCTTTACCAGTTTTTGTGTCTTATACACAGGAGATAACTTTTACATATTCAAGGCACAGTGTGTAAACATTTTCCTTCTTAGCCAGCTGAGGGGGTGGTCATTTTTTTCTCCTTTCAAAATGGCCAACGAAGGATGTAGTCTTTGTTTATCTAGGAGCCTGCAGGGTTGCCAAGATGGCGCTGCAGCGCCGGCATTTGTAATTCGACACCAGTCGGCAAAATGCAAAAGTGTTTTCAAAGAACCGAAGCCAGTAAACAGGAGCGACCCTGAAGTTATTTCTTGTACCAATGGGCTCCCAGCGTGTTTTTGATTTACTGTAATATTGGGTAAAGACGGCTAGAGGCTAACACTGAGCTAACAATTGAAGTAGAAGCAAACAGGCAACTCTCAAAATTTCTCACGCTACCTTTTTATTTACTAACAACTCAATATAAAACGTTTCTTTATTTACTTATCAATTCACAGTGCATGACTCGTCTCTCCTCGTCATCTAGAAT